CGTAGGTTATTGTTATTTATTGCTAATCGATATAAATTGCCTGCTATTTGCATAAACAGAAAATAAATGAGACCGAAAGGATCTTAGGCATAACTTAGTTTGTGCCAATAAAAGTTTTACATTTCAATTAAGATATAACTTTTATTTATTTACTTATAGGCAATATAGCTAACATTTACAACCTATGAGGGAGTTTGCAAGTGCTTAACACGCAGCATCAACACGCTGCTTGAAATAGTATCATGTCAGCTTCTCAATTGGGGGTCCATGTGTCGTTCTTTATCCTAGAATTGATTCCTTTGTTGAAGTACTTTTATTGAACCATATCAGAAAACTGTTCCATTATATGGAAAGAAGCAACCTAAAAAAATTAATCGAAGGATAACGCGCATGACACATCATAAAAAACGCTGCTAAATTAGTTCAGAAAGGCGAACTTATAAACGTTCTAATCTCAACAACTTGCGTCCAATTGTGCTACTTCTTGAATAGCCTGTAACTTGTTATTCATCATTTTCTAGAACTACTTGCGACATGACTATACATTTGCTACTTCGCTTATTTGGTATATTAAACTAGCCATAAACAACCATGGATATTAGTTCACAGAATACATCACATATTTACGTATGTGTTATTTTTATCTGCGCATGGAGTTTGATGCGCATGTGTAGAAGGTGGGTTAAACCTCTAGCGATTCTGATATGGAGGTACTACGAATGGCCATGCTAACTGTTCCGCAAACCCAAATAAACTGAAAATATTAGAATAAATAATTCAACATGGAAAATGCTCACGCGTGATTAATTGAAATATTTGCCATGTGTTATTGATTGATGAAGATCTGACACATTAGACTTAATGGGATGAAGATTTGTAGAATGTAATATCAATGTTATCCTTTAACGGAAATGCTAATTTAATATATTTAATTTTAGAAGCCATTTATTTGGAACACATTTACGCTAATTAAATACAGAATGTCTGCATGGAAGCCCTTACATATGAAATTCATTTTGCACTTGAAAGCTTTCTGTCTCTAGTTTATCTAAAAGGCTACAGTGTGTATATGTACAGTCCAATGTATGTTAGCATACACAAGATGCCCATAAAGTTGTAAACAAACAAGGTGTAATTCCGTTTATCAGGAAGGCAAAAGAAGGTTTGAAAGAACAACAGGCGTAATCTTAAATCTGCCTCACTGTGTATTTTACAAAGCGCTTACATTTACCTGGTCTAGTTACCCCCTCTTTGTTACACGGATGTGAATTGGTACACTAGTTTATTTAGCGATGGGAAGAAAGAAAGAGCAAAGGGGAATATACTATATTAATTATTCAGAACCGAGTTATGGTGCCTTTACTGTTTCCTGTACAGTACACCGGTTTAAGTAGTACTAATATTTCACGGACGTCCAGCAGTTTTCTGGCATTGTTCTGACAAATATGGCATTGGCGGGAAGTTGCTGAAGTTTGCTGCTTGGTATCAGGCTATAGTTATACTTCTTCTAACAAGCGGAGATACGCTCACTCTAGCCATTTGTCAGCCTGTCAAAATGAACAGGGTATCTAGTGAAAGTACTTTCAGAAGTTTCGCCAAATTTCGTATTCAAGATTTCAGACAGTAGGAGTGCAAGTCTCGCTGCCAAGAAACTCCTTGCCGCGTATAAGATGGGTAATATATACTCGTTTATTATTATGAAGCCGGTATTTTCCAAAAGTATCGACAGTGGACGCCAGTTTGCGCATCAAGTCGCAAAGACTAGATAGCGTACAGCTCCGCAACGTAAACCAGGTACAATTGAGTAGAAGCAACTGTTCAAGATCGCACGAGAACCACAGCTCAATATATCTCAACTTAAAGGCGTATGCTACCTGCAACAATATACTTGCCAAGTCCCAATGTCAAGAATCGGAAAGCACTTAGTACGGCGGTTGCGCAGGCTACGGCAAATGTAATGGTCACCCAACGCTACCAGTGATATGGCGCAGATTTCTCTCGTAAAAGGGCGTATAAAACTGAGTGCCCCACGAATTGCTCAGAAATACCGACGAATAGAAGATACGTTCCGAGATAAAGCATAGATATTATATAATTATTGTTACCAACGCCGTATTGCCAGCTGAAAACGACATGCGAAATCAATCTTGGGGTTAGTTGCTGTTAGACCATTATATTGTTGGCGAATAGCTGGTACCCCAGCGCTGACTTTCTCAGTCATTACGCTATCCTTGGCCGCGCTTCGAGTTAGGATTATTACGCCCTGATCAATCCGATGTTGAAAAAGCCATCCAGGCGGTTCCCAAAACAGTATGGAAATCGCTCGGATGGCTTTTTTAAAAAGCCGGGCTCTAATTAGGCCCTGAAGAAATCACCATGAAGGAGCCCAACAGGTTACGAGTGCTACGACCCCTATGTTTAGACTAAATCCAACAACGTCCAATATCGATAGCTCGCCTCGTTCATCTCACAGTTGATGTTGATTCTTGACACCGATGAAACGAATCAAGGCATGTTAAATAAACTTGCTTGTCACCATAGCTACCAATCCAGCAAACGAATTGTATGACTATAGATTCCCATGCGTCAGTCGTAATGATCGGAAAATAAGTAAAGGGCATGTTTTCAATGAGACCCGCCATCGAAAAACCCTGTGGAAAAGGTTGAAGATAATCCCTGTCGTGTACAAGATTCCACTGTTCTAGGATCGTCGATATGTACACTGAGCGATTAAATGTTCATGGGTGCCCTTATCAACGCATCACTGCTTAGTGTTTGCGGTGAATTCAGCCACGCTGCTGATATCCGCTGAGATACTGTTAAATTGGCCTGTTTGAGCTAACGAACACTTCTGTCGTATTGCGGGAAATCACAAATTCTTGATGTTATCTCTGTCATTAGAGTCATTGTGCTATCGTAATTGCTTTTAAATTTCCCCTAGCCTTAAATATCGTATCGTGTCCAGACTTCGTCGTGCTCTTGTTGGCAAAATCTGTCCAGATATCTTAAAAAATATCATCCACCCGCTGTGACCGCATCGTCGTCCCCGAAAGTGGTCTTGCGTAAATGTTTTATTTGGGTCAGTTCGATCCGCTGTTTCTGCGTTATTTCGTTCGTGAACAACTGTTTGACACACTGGGCAAGATAAAAGCCATTGTTAGTTCATCAAAGAGCATTATCAAATGCCGCTTTCCTATATCGCCTACGAGAACTATTAGGTAACCATAATTTTTGACTGTGTCTTTATTTTTTCTTGAACTCATTGTTTTCTCTGCCAACAGGTTATACGAAAGACTTAAACTTTAGGTTTCCGGTTGCCAAGTTCTCACTTCTTCAAACTCGAAAGCAGTTTAAAATGATTCATTCAAGTGCGATATGCTAAACTTCGTGACAACTGCAGTAGGCGAGGGTCAACCACTGGTAGCGGTGCAAAAGACTCTAGACCCGCCTTGGTTTGCCCTGATAAAATTTAGCCAAGCAGGTCTGAGAGTTTTTTGGCGTGTTTTAACTATGGCTTGATTGAGACACGACGTTTCGCCTTGAAAGCGAGCATTACCCTTGACCTAAACTCCTGGGATGCTTTTCTATGCTCAGTCTAACAAGTAATATCGTTTCGACTTAGATTTTGCGAAAATATCCATACAAGAGATAGGGTAAAGGTTTTGGAAATCTCGTTATGGATTTTCATTTTTTCAGATCGAAATACCCCGTTTATAAAATGCATCTGGATAATATCGGTAGGGTTTGACTACTGCGTGTTTTCTAATCGCGAAACTATGCGAAATAGAGCGAACTTTCGACACGCATTCTCACTGTTTAATTGTGGCAGGCTATCTGGTTAGGCTTGTGACAAGTTTTGACTCGTTTCGCCATTTGTCGATAACGCGTAGCTACGCAATCTTGCATGGGCAACAATTTTTCTATTAATTTCTGCGCAGATTACAAATGAAATACATTAAGTTTATTTAGTTTGTGCGGTGTAGGTTCGAGCCTAGACAAATACATACCTTGTTTCGTACTTGGGAGTCAGCCTTCTGATGGATGCCTAACGGCGATGTCAGACCTGAGTCTCGAAAGAGAGACATTTATCATAACTTCGCCTTTCGCCGAAGTGTGACAGGTGTTCTTCTTCAAATGGAGGGAATAGTCTCATGCAATAAATCAAAATATTTTTTTGCACGGTGGTGAAACCAATTAGTACCAATGCCGCCGTTAGATGCATAACGTCCATGTCGAATCTATTTAGTAACGCAAAAAGTTAGCCTATAAACTAGTATAGGTATTTGGTTTAAATTGTCCATGTTAGGCATTCTGGAAAAACTTTACTTTTGGGCAGGAAATTGAACTATCTGAAATTTATTTGGCCGTCAGCAACAGACAGTTTTATACCTGTGCAACCTAAATTACGTAGATTAAAAACAATTTCTTCATAACAACAGCTACACAGCAGTTGGGTTATAAATAGATCACCCGCAGTTTCTAGCCAGGCTGAAAGAGTACAGCAAGAATCTGGAAATTCATACAAAACGGGTCAATTGACGTATAAAGATTTTCTGTATGAAAAAACCTAAATTTACATTGGTTAAAATCAAGAATATTAACTTTATACGGATTGAAAAAATGTAGAGTTCATCAGTCTTTTTTTTTTATAGAACTTTTGAGGTTTTGAGAGTTTGACATATCTTTTTTGTAGTTTCTGCGATAGCAGCATAAGTTGGTATAATTTACGCTTTTTTTCACAGAAGATCCTAGTCTTGTCTACATGCTTATACTGAGAATTCTTCTCAAATATTTTAGCAGATCGACAAACGTATCATATATATATTGCTTAGAGTCGGCTAAAAATTCACTTAGGATTTTATATGTCAAAATCTATGCATAAAGCAGTGACCAAGGTGTGTATAATCGCAACTTGTTAGCTGATTTCATGATAGCCAAAACCGTCTTCTGCTTATTAAATATAGAGAAAGAAGCTCCAAATCAGCTTAAAATCATTTTGAAGAGACGCTCCCAAAGGCCACTCTTTTTATTTTATTTATTATTTATTTCACTCTCTTTCGTAGAAGAAAAATGTGGTTGAAAACGTATTTTGTTGAGTCACACATACTATACGGTAATATGTGTCGATGGGGGCTTGGACCAGAAGTACTTGTCTTTTCCAACTAAAAGATTTTGTTGTTCAAGCCACCGCGCTGGTACCAAGCAAACAACACATTTTTATTCCCATATCAGCAGTAATACGTTTATTAAAGTACCGCTGGACGAGGATGTTTCAGATAACAAGGCGCTGAAGGTTAGCGTCAATCTTCTTGCTGTCGCTTAGCTATTTTATACAGTCCTGTCTTCGAGTGAGTTCCATTCCAGAACTACTGTATTAAATAATTGTCATATATAAATACATGCTTTTACTATTCACGCTGCTAACATCGTATGGACATTGTTTCAATTTTCGCACATTCTACTTCTTTTTGCCCTTTAATTTCTGTAGTGAATTCAGCTCGCCTTGTTGGGTTGCCAGTTCGCCGAACAATCTCTTTACTTTCATCTTGCGGTCATGGTCGAGACGCAACTGTTCCTTCAGTTTATGATGCGCAATAAACTGATTATCTCTCCGTACTTCTCGCATAGCACTCTTTAACTCTTTCTTGTATTTGGCCTGAAGCTTCTTTGTTTCTACCTTAGCACCTTTAGAATTATTGTGCACTTTACGCAACAAGTCCACTTTTTCTTCAATTAACGGCTCATACATTTTGAGCATCTGCGGTCGGCTTCTCTTGCGACAAAGCGGCCCTCGAGGGCGATCACGGGACAGTTTCGTAATCACGGTTGTAAGCAAGCTCTTGAGCGACTCCGGATAGTAGCTACTCTCCAATTTGCCAAGCCTCTGGTGAATCGTACTGAATACCTCTGCAAAGGAAGGCACTTTGGAAAAAACGTCTGCAGCAACGTTAATCAAATTGAGCAGACCGAACATAATCTTGCACCTCACTGTCCGAGGCAGTTCCAGATCTCGTGAGCAATATAGATCCGAGAGGCGGAGCCGTAGATCTTGTTCACGAACGACACCGGAGAGTGTTAAACGCTGTGATTCGTTGAGCAGTCGCAAGATAAATGATATTACCTCAGGGACGTATTTTTCTCCAAAAGCGACGTACTCAAGCATCAGTTGGGCCAGAAAAATGCCACGTAACATATTTCTTCCATCATTCACTCTGCAAGTAGTTAATAGATGGGCCATGCACAGCAATGCTGGCGTAGCTACGGCATGCTTCTGGTCAGACGCTGAGAAGCATATGCTGATTAGCTTGAACATAATTAGTCGTTCAAGACCAGGAAAACTACTATCCTTTTTCGGTCCCTTTGAACGTTCACCCCGATAAATATTTCTAACAATTTCAATAAAACTTCGAGCAGACGCCACTGGAGACATTTCTGTTAACCGATAAATGTGTACAACAAGTCCGTTTACTAGCTGTAGCACGCCCGGTGGTAAAACTCCTCCATCGCCAATCGGTGCCTCATCAAGAACAACAAAGATTCGATCTATTAACAATCTGAGAAAGCCTTCAAGACGACGCTTGTTTCCCTCATGCAGTGAGGGTGCGTTTCCGGTTATGATTCTCTCGACGATGATTAACTCTTCCGTGTAGGTTCGATTTTGAATAACCGTATCAAAAACATCCATATTTTCTGGCACGGCGATCAAATACGGAATGTCGTTTGTCAGCGCTTCTAACGAAATTGCTGCAGTTGTCGCCTTTCTTGGAATTCTAACGCTTGTATCTCCTTGAGTCGTAGCCTGTGCATTACTTGTTATCTCGTCCTCCGAATCACTCTGAAACGCAAATTGTAGCATTGAAGGGAAGTGCGTTAAATAAAATAAAATTAAGACCGCATAAGTGCTACAGAATTGTGAACCCGACAATTAAAAGAGAAACGGTCGCTATATTTAGGTTTACAACTATGTGTAGCGAATAAACGTAACTGAATTGAATACCCTATCTATGTTCCGCACACCTTTAAATCATCGTAGCTATCTTCGTCCTGTTCTTCTTCACCGTTATCTTCCTCACCGTCTTTATCTTCTGGCGCAGTATCGCTTTCACTACCATCTTCATCACGTGGCTTTTCTTCATCCTCACTATTTTTAACTATTTCATCAGCATCTGACCCGGCATTTTCGCAGCCATTGTCATCATCAGTACCAGCCTCGCCATTCGGATCTCCATCATCATTATTATCTATACGAGAAATTATTTTTAATAATTTAATAGCTTTCTTTTAATAATTTAATAATTTATAAGGCAATGAGCAACATTTATTCCCAGGCTGATGAAAGAGTTTACGCAATTGATTGATATACCCATGGACCTTTTTTATTAACCTTTGGCTTCATTATCGCGCTAGCCTTATTTAATCAAACAACTAAATACATAATTGTATCTGCTATTCATGAAACAGATATGGCATCAAAGAACTTTGCTGTGAACCCCGTTATTATTAAAGCTTTTCTGAAAAGCCATACTCCTGTATGCATTATCACAGAACTAACCTTCTATCGCAAATCCATCGTCGAGGTCATCTGCACTGCGGTGCTTTGCAGCTGCTCGCTTTGAACCGTTGGAGTCGTCTTCGCCACGAGCGCGAGCCAGACGTCGACGTTCGAGCTCTTCCAGGCGTTCTCTTTCCTCTTTAGCAACTTCTTCAGGGTTTTTGGTGCGATCAGTAGCTATTCCAGCACGTGGCGCATATTGTAACTCGCTTACAAGCATATCGAATACATCTGAAGCGTCTTTGTTAGCAACACGCTTATCAGAACTTGCCTGGCTCTTCGCTGATGCACCCGAACGTACGCTTGCAAGCAGCGAAGACACATTCTTCCATTTTAAGTCAAGCGCCTCCGTCAATTTCACATTTTCATCGACTTCGATTTGACGTTCGTGCTTCAACCTAAAAAAATATAGAATCAGCTTAGTTGGTTGAAACAAAGCGCCTTTCAAAATTCGTTTTAAAATATGTTACGTACACTTTGTTCAAAAAAGCATAACAGTCAACTTGAAAAATAAAGTATTAGAGCTTTTGCGAAAAAAACTGTCACCAAAAATATGTAATTTCTTCCTTAATTTTGGCGGAAGTTAAGTTTCATATTGCGAAAAGTAAGCACTCTAGCGACTCTGTTTCTTTTTCATTAAAAAAAAAAAAACGTGCGGCTAATCACAAACCGTTTGGTCTCTGCAATAAGTTCGCCGATAGCGCGCCTTCGACTTTCCTCTGTTCCCTCTGCTTTCGTGAGGAATCCTCCGAAATGCGCTTTGCCCACAAAGGCCGCATCCAATTTATCATAAATATCTTCGTCATCCGATCTTGGGTCATCTGCTGCGTTGACGTCCTCAATTGACTGGCCTAAATGGGTAAGGACCTGCAATGTATAACAAACAAACTTAGATAAGCACTCTTATTTTATACCCTATGGCCCCAATAAACATTTAAAAAGAACGTTGAGAATTTTTGCTAACATATGGCCCACCGAAGTTGTGAAAGCTAGCTCTGTTGATGACAAACATAATAAAACCTGCCCATAGATAAAAAGACCGATTAATGCTTAATAAATGCTCGAATAATAAATCAGCCAAAAACCTATAATTGTGTGAAATAAACAATGATTTTTAGAATACATCTACAGTATAATGACTTAGGAAGAACCTCAATGACCAAGCTTATGCAAAAGACAAAAAATAGGTGCTAAAAAAAATCTATTTTTCCCGATTTTTGCCATAAAATCACATAATATCTCCACAAGGACACAGTATTTTTTTTTGAGAAATATCGCAATTTTGGTTTTGTTTAATTGCTTAGTTCCTCGAGTACATCCATTGACATAGAATTTTTAAGGTTAAAATAAGGAAAAAAGATGCTATTAATTTCCGTCAGCACAAGATCGCTTTTTTCGACTTGATAGATATTTCTTCTAACCTCATCGTCATTCAGATTAAAAAGATTCCGCTTATTTTTACGGGTGCTCTCTCGAGCAATCCGCCGGGCAATCTTTTCGTCAGGATCAAGATTAGCATCTCCTTCGCCGATTCTCCTATCCAATAAAACATTGTCTTTGTTGCGGTGAACATATTCTTTAAGCAGGGTCTCCTTGCGTTTTAAAATCGCGCGGTCCCGAGCTACACCAGGCAAGCCGCGCTCACATTTGAATTTCCGATTGATCACCTAAATTCCAGAGCGAAAAGACTTTACGTTATCCACACAAACGAATCAGATACAATGTTATCGCTGTAGTGGTGAGCGATTTAATTTATATTGTTTTGTAGTCTGATAGTAACCAATGTTTTTATTTCACTATTAGAAAATGTAGTATATCATTAATTTAAAAAAATAATAAGTATTATGCTTTCCTTTATCACTGTCTCTCTTCATATTTCACTAGTTTTACCATTCTAAGCAGCACTTTAATTACCTGGTGTTTTTGTCGATTAAGCTTTACTTCAAATGGATTCTTTTTTACATCTTTTTTCGGCTTAGTCTGGTTCACCCGGTCAGGTAAAACCTTTTTCTTGTGTTTTGCCATTCCTGTAGATTCCGCAGACCGTGTTACGAAAAATCACGCGCTCAGTCTTCTTAAACGAGGACGTTTAAAAACACAATTTAGCTATGGAACTCGTAGATCACAAACACATACTAACGGACGCGAAATTTTACAAACTAAAAACAACTCCGATTTCCATACCAGTTGTCTTTAAGTATACTAACATGCGCTTCGCCAATGCTTTATCGACTTCTACATGTTAAGTGTATCAATGGGCCACACAGTGGATTGATTGTAGCATTTTATCTGTTTCTCAGCTGAACAGGTTTTGTCATCATTAATCTAAAAATCATTAGGGTATAATTGCACGACACCATAGTCCATAAAAACGGCTCACCGATTATTGACAATACAGTCCCATATCGAATACTATCAAAAGAAGAAACTCGACATATGAAAAAGAACACACGTGCAGAGCTCATGTGGCAAGGGAAAACCTAAACAAAAAACACCAAACGCAGTAGTCATCTGCTAGTCACCAACAAACAAACTTTAGCTGCGCTTTTGGGTGTCCGGAATGAAACTCGTCGTTCTCATTCTAGACACATCTCTTTCCCTCAATAAAGGATGCTAGCATGTTTAGCTCATTTACCGCAAACATATGTATATATATATAACTGTTTGACTTCCGTTAACCTAGAAGATCTTAGCTTCTCAAATCTTTTACAAAAATCAAATGTTTATTACTTAAAACATCCTTCCAAAACAACATCGAACCATTGTTGGGTTTCGAATAAGAATTTTATGCCGTTCAACCAGTGATTGCTCTTTCGCACGTATATTTGAAGATAAGATGCAAAAATTTTTAGAGTTCTTGTTTTGTAAAACAACTACTAACTATACGAATGAACGCATCTCAGTCGGAGCCACAACTTTTCACGCCGTCTAGCAGTCGAAAGAGACAACGGGTGAAATTGATTTCGCTTCTCAATCCACACCACATGTTGTTTTGCACGTTTTACGTTGCCGGTTTCGTGTCCACTTACATTGGATTGGCCGCTTCCCCCTTATCGAATTTAGCAAAGGCTCCTTGCCTAGTCTATGCGGTGTCTATAGATGGAAACGGCACAAGAAAACATCGCAAACGTAATAATGCTAGGACCTTACGGGGCAATCATATTTAACTTATCTAACGTGTACCTGTATTAGTACACACGCGAGAAAGTGAGACAAACAGTTTCCAGATGCAGAATTTCAATAGTAGAAGCAACCAGGGTTCAACCGTACAAACTAACTCCAAAGTAATTTAGTCATAGTGTGATCCTTGCAATGCGTGATTTGATTGACTGCAGTAAATAAGAGCAGAGCCGCCAAATCTCTCAAAGGTGAATGCTAACGTGGTATATTGCTCTACAGAGGCGCAAGTACTTGAGCTTCACTGCCATGGCATCTTAGAAATAAATAACAGCGGTGACTATTATAAGGAAACTGAAATATAAAAGTGAAGAGTTTTTTGAGCTTGAGTAAATTCAGCTTGTGAATGGACACTCAGTGAAACGTACAGCTGATCTGTTTAGTGATTCAGTATTTACTCGACTATCGGCAGAAGCCCGAACCGTTTGACCTACCGCTTTGCAACACCAAAAGTAAGTAGTTCCATAATAATAATAGTAATAGTTACATTAGCAATCTGCCAGTTTACAAATATCACGTAATTGGTAGATAGTGGCCTTTAAACTCTTGTACTGGCGAACTTGTTTCGATCTACCCAAAATTAGGCAATACATTGATATGTTCATAAGCCGGCTTCCGTTAAGTGTACGAAGCAAGTGGCGACATGTGCAAGCTAATGAATACAAACCGTGAAGGTTGATTCCCTTTTTAGGTATTTGGTTTTCTCTCGGCTACTACCAAAACAACGTTCAACTACGCAATTGTTCGAGACAACTTTTCACGTTTAATTTACATAAGAATATTGAAAAATATAAGGATTTCATATTTTATTTAATGGCGTCTGCTCGTTATGTCAATTTGTTTTTGTGTAATATTTTTGTAAGAGTAGTTTATTGACAACCTGTTATGGTATGCTCGTGAATTAGTCTGCTTTGCAATGACGGCGCCGCCAGCCCAAGAAAAAATTACTATGCATACAACGATCGTAAAAATATGAACCTTCTGATCATCTCTAGAGACAGAAACGTAGTTGTTTTTGTCAGTTGATTGGCTGGCCATAGGCTCTTCTTTTAATCCTCTACAATTCACTTTGTCTCCAGGCCATCCAATTCAAATGGCTAACAACAACATGCGCATAGCAGTCACTCCGAACTGGGCGAGGGAAAGGGTAGTTGTCAAGGGTATTCATTAGTGACATAACCCAGCGGAAGAACGCTAAAGGTGGGAACCTGGGCGTCAGTTGGTTGTTTCATTTCGCGCAACGCGCATTAATAGAGTTGTCCATGGTTGATAAACTGACGTAAGACAAAATATGACAGTTATAACCTGATACAAAAAGAGAAGTCGACTCTACACAAAATGATGGATTCAGACTCAATCTCACAGCCGGTCCTCAGAGATCGTAAAAACCATACGATCACTTGCAATGTTGCAAATTCTAATTCGCCTGGGCAAAACAGCGATGCAGATGGTGTTGGTGCTAATAGCAATGATGTGGCGCTAATGGCAAAATTGCAAGCGCAAGTTAGAGCATTTATTTCGCCCTCGGTCTATTCGATGCTGGTGAGTATACGAGTTGGTATCATAACTCCTTAAAGGTATTCTGGTATAATGCATAACAATTTGTAGAGTTTTATTTGAGCGTGCTCACCAGGCAACGATGTTCGGTTACACGTATAAACGGTGGAAGAAGGCAACAGGGGGCAAGTAAACACGCAGCGTGACGTCGTCGTAGGAGTTTGTTCGCGCTTTCGGCTCAAAGAGTCGTTCAGCTGATTCAGTCCGTTTTCCAAGCTTGAAAACATTTTATTATCTAGAACATTTCTATTTTGTGATGGATACACGATAGGTGCTAGCACTTAAATGCTATCTCTTGCTTGGCGTGATAACTAAGGGATGGTGAAAGCAAGACACTAGTATCAGCTGTTTGATTTACCCCAATGAGAAGAGTCGACGAGCTATAGAGAGTATTTTTAGCTCGGACGCATCGGCCCTACCATATGGGTGGGTTGAAAAACCTATTTATGTAAGGGTGGCACTATGTAGTGCAGGCTCAGCGCTAGTTACATGAGCGTTGATAACAACAACGCTTGCTGAAAGCGAGTCCCGTATGTTCTAAGTAAGGCTCTAATAGGGTCGACTTAATAGATTTCAGCTGAGTTAACTGGAAGTGATTTTTTTAAATAATTCATAGCTATCTGTGCACAAATTATTTATTATTAAAAAGTTGGCAAGCTACCAAGTACACAGAATGTTGCCACTACACAGCTGTTAGGTCTTTTACATAGCTTCTTTGATTATCACTTACATAGTTGTAGATAAAAGTAAAAATAAGAAGGAAGTTATTATGGGGGTTTGTAAACATATGGATAAATGGTATAATAGGTGTTATCTTCTAGTGGTTCTTTTTTTCGCCGAACTCCTGTTTTTTGTAGACGCATTTTGGTGACAGCTTGATGGCAAAGTAGTGCAGCTTTTTTCTACTATATTAAATAACAACAAACTGCTAAAAAAGGAATGGACGTTACATATAAATGGACCTATTCTGTCATATGATAACATATTCGAAAGTTCGAAGTCAAATAAATGATAGAGGACCATTGCCCTTAAAGCATAACATCATAGTTGTATTTTAAGTAAATTGAAATTGTGTTATATCAAAAAATACTTATAAGCACATTATGCTTCGGCTGTCCCGGACGTATCTGGAAGGTCGATCATATGAACTTGATTGGTTTACTTACTAATGTAAAAAAGGGTTGCAATCAGGCATTATTTTTTTTGATTATGCGATTTCAAGTATTATTGCTTCCCTTATAAAAGATGTAATAGGAACTACAGTTGTTTCCTTTGGCAAACTCGAGCAACAGTTAAATTCGACTCAATTTACGCACCAAAGTAAAGATGCATAATAAATTCTTAGAAAATCTTAACCTTTCGTGACCAGTTGTAGTGTTTTTCCAGCTATTTAGTACTGACCCTTACTACTTCCAATCTTCGTTTCCCTCAACACAAGCAAAAATGTTTGATGTGTAGTTTTTCTGCTACAGACAAAATAAGGACTTTACAAGTTAACGCCGAACTGTCACCGTCTCGGTACACACATGTATAAACACAGCGTCCGAACGACGTTGTTAGCGTTGATGCCCGCAAGTGAATCAGAACAAGCTCGAATATAGCACTAACTACCTGTATACATGTCGTAAACTTTGTACAAAAACATTGCAGAAGATCATTAAAGGTTCTAATCATTCTGCAACAATTGTCTCAATGGCGAAAAGACTGGGGTTGGACGAAATAAAAACTCAAATTATAAGCGCTCTATGGTATATACAAGCGATTTTCAATGTAATTTATGAGGACGCTTACGTGGCGATAAAGCAAAAATTTAAAGTCAGGATAAAATTTGTTGGTATTATAACCTCTTTTTTCTACGGTTACAGGGTGATTTTTTTAATGTGAAAAACTGTGCTAATAAGAAATGTAGTAATTTAAGTACGAGGCTAGAACGAAGATTAGCATACTGTAGGAGCTTCAAATGTTTAGCGATAAGGGAGGCTGTGTCTGTATTAGCACAGCTAGAGACATTATTGTACAATATACTGTATTATATATACATATGTTGTTTTTTCAGTGTAAACTTTCTCCTTAGGTAAACTGAAGCTTTCTGTATTTGAATACCAATTTAAAGTGTTGTTTTCTGTTAATTTGTATTTTTTGAGCAGAGCAACCTTCGTCGAAAGATGGCATTAGCGTTTGGTTTAGACTACGCACCGGCATCAACTGTGGGCATGACGTTTGGCGCATGTTGCTCCAATGTCGTCTTTCTCGAACAACTGGTTAGGCTGGAGCCGGGCTGTACAACTTTGGTGACGTTTGCACAATTCGCCTTTATCGCCGTTGAGAAGTTTTTCAGTGAGACACGTTGCTTCCGAAAGAAGCGGGCTGTCCCATTGTCAAGATACATCGAAATGGTTGCGGTATTTTTCACTCAGAGTTTTCTAAACAACTATGTATTCAACTTCGATATTCCTATGCCATTGCACATGATCTTTAAAAGTGCGTCCTTGTTATCGAATATGGCGTTGGGTATCGTTATACTTAACAGGTAAGTTGTAAACTAACATAGTTCTATTGGGATGTTAAACAGACCTTTATTTATTTTTATTAGATAACCCTGTATTAGTGAAGAGCAGCACAACCTCCGTTGTTTCCGGTGGTGTCAGCATAGCATATATTAATGAATACAACTTGCCATACGGATAACTTGAAATCTGGATGCTGCTAATACGCAGGATGCCTGTAGGCCAATATAGACAAAATTTAAAGGCCCATCTCTGTATTCACAGAAGTATATATGGTAATTTGGCCGAAAGGTTAACTCAACATGCATATCTCTATCAACCGAACGGGGTATAACGGCAAGCTGAGATACTGACAACAATCGGTTTCTTCAAAAATCTACGAACGAAAATAAGAATTCTTCCTTTTTTTTTTCCAATTAGATCATATTCGTTTCGAAAGTACAGCGCTGTAAGCCTTCTAACCGTTGGAATCATAGTGTGCACGATGGCGAGTGCTGCACCCCGAGAACAAATGGCTGACACAAGAAGCAGCCATCTTACCTTTTCTCTGACACAGATTATTGGTATAGCAATTCTGATTCTTGCGTTGTTGCTTTCGTCTATGATGGGAATTCTACAGGAAAAAGTAAGTCTACTTTGACAGCTTTCTCCAAATGTAAATCGGTTACATTTTGTTCGAAGTCCAGCTTTGCTAGATTAGATGTAAGTTTCAAGCGCATCCCGAACTAGGATGAATTATTCTTTAGCACTATAGCAGCTTTCTTTATAGGCTAAGCACACGTGAGGTTTGCAAGAAAGAAGACTGGAGTGTTCAGTGTACCTAATCAATATGTTTTGAAATAAGCGACCGCTAAATATTTATAATCTTGGCTACTTTTTCTCTAAAGCAGATGAAGTACCCATTTACTATAAACGTGTTTTAGCTAGAAATATTCGTTGCAACGACTCTGAATTTCGTACGAACCAACTTTGCTATGCTTTATATACCTGAAAATAAATAGTCTTCGAGCATACCTTTGTAGCGGGTGATACGTTTACTTCACGTCTGATACTGCTGCTCGTCACTGAGCATCGACGGCCGCCATTTCCCAACCTGAATTGCGCTTAATTTCAAACCTAGACCACGCCACGTGTTCCTCAGCTTACTAGGTAACTGCACCATTACTGAAACTACTAAGCTTATTTGCTTAGTCCTGATTGTTCTTACAATTATTGCAGGTAACAGCTGACTTCGGCAAACACCCGGGTGAAATGATGTTCTACATACACGCACTGGCACTGCCTGTGTTCGTGATGTTTACACCTCAGATGTGGCACTCTTTTAAAATTTTGGCCGCTACGCCCAGCTCGTGGATAACGTTAGGCCTGCCGACTGGTATCGGCTCATTACTAGCCAATATCTTGACACAGCACTTATGTATCACCAGCGTGTGTAAACTAAGTACCGAATGTACTTCGCTAACCGTTACACTTGTGCTTACATTGCGAAAGTTTGTCTCACTTGTCATCTCTATCTTTTATTTTGGCAATGAATTTTCCTTTCAACATTGGATTGGTACAGCTCTGGTGTTCATCGGTACGTTGCTATTTCTTGATGCACCGCCGTCCTCAGGGCAAAAAGATGCGAAGGACAAGCAGGCGAAAGTCCTTCTCTCCAAAGTAGAAAAACAAAAATCTAGAGATAAATTAAATTGAATAATATGTTTAAAAAATAATAAAGTTTGCAAGCAGAAAATACATATAGTGGTGTGTAGAAAACGTCGCTTCATGAGTTTTTAACCTGTGACGAAATAGAATATTAGACTATTTTACGTGGTAGGAGATATCTGAGACGGGAAAAGCAGAGCAAATATGATTAGCACAGTCCACTATTTGTAGTTGTTGTTAATAAATGCTGAGACATATAAAATAGTACTATCCAATGATCTTACAATTTTCTTTACAGCTCATTTAATAAATGTGTCTCAGCCACATGGCAAGAATTACGTGTAGGTAAGGTAGTGCTTGTTTGTAACAGATATATATATATAACTCTGAATGAATGAAAGTACACATTAACTAGTTAGTATTTTCAAAATCCTCATCTTCTAAACACATTCGAAAGTGAATTTAGAACGTATGACAAAACAGTGGTGAAAACATATAGAAAACCAGTTAAATGAAAAAGCTTGGACAGTTTTATTTAAGCAAAGTAAAACTGTATACAAATCGATTAAGATAACTGAACAGTCCAGATCTCATATAAGACTAGTGCACCTCCCAAAATGTGGTATAGGAGATAAGGTGTATACTGCATGCCTGTGATCATCACTATTTTTAAAATACTTGTTTACATCATGATGAGATACAGTCAATAACATCATACGATTACACAAATTCAGCTGACGACGACAAACAAGCTTATTTTACAACAAACAAGCCGTTGAAATGTTGAAGTTTTTACGCGACTATAACAAAACGTCATGTTGTAGGCAGCCAGCAATAATGTCTCTGATTTCCTATTCATGATGACGGAGTCGACTGCGCGGGTGCTACTCCTCAATCTAATTAATTTTAGCAATAAGATAGTAAGTATTAATTTGATATCACAAATTCCATATACTCCGTTGGATACCAGTACTTCCGGCAGAGTGAAGTTCAATTATGGCAAAAAGTTTCTACAGCCATATTCCGATAACCAACCTGTCTGGCATAAACTCAGATACGTATACGTTAGTTGTACTACAACAAATGTTTTTGTGTAGGATTTTAACATATGTAAACATTGTTTGTATATTATTTCATATGATGTATGGTATACAATGAAGCTACGACGCAAATAAAACTTGTTATATTCGCAGTTATACCATCTGATATGGCTATTTTTGTTTGTCGTTTATTAATTTTTAGATCTGGACACTAGTTTGTAATTAAACGTCATGCATTTTGGGTGGCTAAGCTTTTACTACCTCCTGAAATAGGAATTTGTAACGGACAGACTAAAAAATATCAAATTATTCATTACCACATACCCATCAAGACTATAGAGGCATCGTCCATTGACTTCCCAGTCCCAGTTTACGCAAACTCTAATCTAGATAGAAGCACATAAAACCATAGAAATCAGACGCTCTTCAATCAATATTCGATTGCATATTTTCTTTATAAATCTTGAAAGTGTTTCGTACATGTTTATCATTAGAACTGATAGATGGTATGATTTACAGGTAAATAATGGTCAGAGGTAAAACATTAGTATTAAGTATGCTATGAGGCTAATTGGCGGTTCTGTTCTACTGAAAGCTTCTTAATACGTTCATTTTCTTTATCTGGATAGACGTGTACATGGAAGACACCTCCAAGCGTCACATAGTTTATACGCTATCTATGTATGAACCCTTCGAATCATTACCTAGATATTTTTAATAAATACAAGCTTCGCAAAGGACTATACAGTACAAGTAAATCCTCTTGGACAATGTATGTGTTCCAAATCATGTTGACGGTGAATAGCCGTCGACAGACAACGTAGCGAAAAGGAGTATCCGTGGCCTCCACATAGTTCATCGAACTCTTCGACGCCGGTTGCCTAGTAGCTGAGATTGGTTGTAACTTTATTTTCCCTCTTGATCTTTTCTCGATAGCTAACCAGTGTCTTCAGCATTGTCGAAGATCAGTAAATCGCGCAGGTGTATGGCTTGGAACCTGTGTGTGCGTTCAAGTGGACGCGCAAATCGCCCCTCTGCTCGAAGCCTTTATCGCATGAAGGACATTTGCATGTATTCGTATGTGAACGATCGCGTCGGAAAACTTGCTCTGCACTGGCCGTATGCGGCTGGATATTAATATAGGAGACCGCCATGTGTCGGCGTAAACTCGACCCGTAATAGTGACCACGAGCGCGTCCGCTGCAGATTTAATGGACTGACTTCAAGTCGGCGTGAGCCTTCTTGTGAAGACGCAGGTGCGTAACGGACTTGCATTGTTTGCACTTGTGAGGTTTATCTGCTCGATGCACGCTTAGGTATCAGAGAAAAGACTCGAGGGGTCATTAAAATCTGCGGGGCATGTGTCGCAGATGAACTCCCCCTTGTCAGCGTCTACTTCCTTCCTTCATTTGAGGAACGCTCTCCGCATTTTGGACAGTAGAATGGCTTTTGGCTAATGTAAATTATTTTGGCGGTTATAATATCCTGCTCGACGGAAACGGTCTAACTGGCCACTCTATGTAAGATTTTATCTCGCTTAAAACATTATAACTTTTATTTACTCTAACTTTTACTGCGTTTGAGCTCTGGAGACAGCGTCCACACTTAGTGGTTGCCGCCTCAAGCGATGTCATCTCGTCAAATTCCTGAGATGACATCTGTAAGATGAACTGAGAAGTCTGCAAGGTTTTGGGTACTTCCATGTGTTGGATCCTTTTAGCATAGAACGTAAGAAATATGGAGAGTTTTCAATGGTTATAGTAAGGATTCCATTATTTCCATTAGTAACGGTGGTCTCCACTACCTAAGGTGGCCTCGAAGATTACGTGTCTCTATAAATCGGCCTCGGAATAACTCAGCGTTTAATGGCAGCAAATCAGACTATCAGTGACTGCTACTGTTAATGCATTTCGATCAAATGTCTTTGACTTGAATGAAATAAAAATTGTGACGATAGCAGTATTAGCATAAAGATCGCTAGTTATTGGACTTAGTTTTTCAATATACAATTCTAATTGCAAGTTATTTTTTACGATATGGCACATCTACACATATTCTATACATAATATTTTAATTATATTTCGAGCCAAATGTGATATTGCTATTTATAATGGTTTAACATTGATACAATTTAGTGATATATGTTAACAATAACGACCGAATTATACCCTCACTGATTCATGGACCCCTAACATATATATAACATACAAATAAGCATGTTTATATATTTCTTGCAGTTGATAGATTATCTGGTCTCGGAGAGCAAAGGTACTTAGCGCTTCATAGGAGCACGTCATAGAAGTACCGAACTTCGAACAGAATAACTAAACATAGGGGACGCTCTATTCACAGAAGCAAACTTCAGAGCAGCATCCATAGCACAAATGAGTATTTGAAATAGAGACGCTAAACATTGTAGACCGAACTATCCATACTGGTCTAATATCCCACAGAACAAAACAGATGCTGGATTTTTTGTGGAATACAAGATAAGTAATGAGCTTATTTTCGCAGTTTCTCGCTTTGTTTTCATTTAAAATTAGGTTAAGGGTTTTGTGATCTTTAACTGACGCTCGACTGTTTTGGAATGATGTTAGACGCTAGGAAAGCCATAAAGTGTGTAAATCCGGCCTCACAGCTGTGCAACCTCGATAATATCACCTAGAATAGAGTCCTCTTCTGACATGGACTTGTTTACCAAGTACTATTGCTAGCGGTGCAATGTCACCGTGATAACTTACTGGGTAACATGTTCGCGTGCTAATCTTAAGGACACGCTGTGATTTAATCCCAACCCAGGCATAGATAGATACACTTCGTTTCGTGCTGGGGGTTAGCTGTCTGACGAAAGGCGATACTAAATGTAAAACTGCGAAGACCCAGAGGTTATGGAGACGCACGGGTTTCTTACATGTGATGAAATATGGCTTATATACGTATTGAAACTTTTCAATGAGAAAGCACTATATAGTTACGTGCTCAAGCTTTATACCGCAGAACACATTTTTCAAAATCCGATAATATTCTTCATTGTTTAATGCCTTGAAGTTGAAACCTAATAGAAAATACACTCCACAATCATACCATTGAAATACCGTACCAAAGACTTATTCATGCCATTAGAACGCGTTTAAAAATTCATATGTGTGCTTTTCACTGTGTAGAAGAGGCTAAGTGCTAGGTGGAAAAAGGCGAATTGAGCTCATCGCAAAATGCACGAGGACCGTAGATAGAGAAGACATCTATGTCTAAAATGTCACACATAACTAACAGGCACATATATTAGGAACAGAATTACAGAGTTTGGATGATGAGGCAAATGAATGTTATCTATTGAACATTTCTTTTAACCTACAGTCTCTATATTAAGGCGCACCATTGAACCATTAGTTTGCTACGGCTATGAACTTACACACCGTCTACGTGAGGTGATTCATTTTTATATGGGCTGATACGCGTCACAACTTATATACATTAAAGCCATTGTGCCTTGTATGACACTACTCATATAGCTTCACTATGTGATTAACTTGTCATAAGCATAATATGGTCAAGGTGTAACTATATGATTGGTCTCTTAGCCCAGCTCCTGCTTCCGTTTGTCTTAATCCCAAAACAATGTTCCAATTCTCTACCGATTTACCTTAACTAGCAGCCATATTTGGTTTCAATAATATTTGTCTTATATGTATAACCAGATGTTTGCTTTTCATCCTAGATCGGAGTTATTTACTTTCAAACTATATTTTTCATCCTAGCTGTGCAGTTTTCATTTCATATTTTCCGGGCTTTGACACTGGGTAGCAACTGCACAACTGGTTGTTCATCATTTGATACTGTTAAAGGTCAACAAAAGAACGTAAACAGAAACAGCATACAAAGTAAGATGTCTTCAGGTTAAAATGCTGGTCTGCGGCATAACTGAATAAGTTCTAGCAGCTGCGAACTTGCGAAGATGCTTGAAATCCCCTCTGTCCAGTGATCATGACTGTAAGGAACTCTAATTCTCAAGACGGCTATTAGACAATTATGAAAGCTCAGACTACGACACTTACGAGAAATCAATTTATTTGTAATAACCACAATGAGACCGTGTCCTTCGTTATTGAAGCTAATAAGTTACTTGGCGCTCCAGCATCCGTACATGTCAAGATACTATGTACATACATACTACTATGTTACACGTCAGGACAAAATGTTATGCAGTTCCCATAACTCTATATTATGAATATAATTAGTTCAAGCCACGCAAAAGGCTGGGGCTGCCAATAACGTTGAAACAACAAACTGTGGTGGGTACAACAAAGACAGGTACAGATCATTGTTGAGTATGTTGTCGTATTCGAGAAGCCCGTTACAGGATAGCGTTTTTTGAGCTAAGGGACTATGTATATTTGTTTCAAATGTTGTTTGTTGAAGAATTGAAAAACAAGAATTGTTACAGTTTATCAACAACAGCAATGTATGTTCAAATCTACCCACGAGCTAAAAAAAGCTTTCAGCAAAGTGAAATTCGCTGTGTTTTATAAGACGCCATTATACGTCAATAAATATAGCGACATCTGGTGCTGTTGGGCTAAGTGTTTGTTGTTATCGGCCAATGTTCACAAGATGACGTAACTTGGCCTAGTGTTGTTTTGTGCTCGACCGATTTGCCCAGGTCGGTAGGGCCCGTTCGAAATTGAGGCAGCGATCGAGTCAATGTGGTGGTATTTATTGTTATTTCTAAGAAGCACCATGGTCGGTAATTGATCATCCCATCAGCCACCTGTGCTAGCTAAGGCTAAATATCCAGTGCAGTAACCACCCGCTGCAGATGCTGTTATTAATCCATTCAACATTCCCCGTAAGTGCAACTATATATTCAATCCAATGAGGATATGACAATTTATACATTTAAGTAAGAGATTTACCTAGTCCTCTTTGTGGGCATCAACGCTTGCTCATGCAGGTTTAAGTTAGTAGATGTTATATAGTATAGCTTCCTTTATTCACACAAATATAACGTGATTCAGTAATATATATGTATATGGTTCTGCGCGAAGTAGTTCTACTTATTTATTTAAAACAAAAAGCGTTACACCTCAAACCGACGTACGTTCAATTGCAAGCTCTATATAAAGGTTATAATATTTAGACGAATTCAGATGTAAACTGAGCTGCGCAAATTTATTTGTGGCTAAGATTGTAGTGTAGTTATAATGACAAATAGCGGAAAAAAGCTATTCAAAAAATGACAAATCTCAGAAATCATTAGATACCGTTGTTCGGCTATTTATTGCTTTAATTATGTCGGACGGTGTCACTGTACGCAACGCTATAGAGTACGTGATTGATTGTTGATGTTTTTCACTTAAGTTTAAGTCATCACATAACTTCGGTTGGTGGTCCGACTGACATTTCTGATCAAGTCGACATTCTATGCTCGTTTTCTATGCTTATTTATGTATTTTAATAAAAAAAAATGTGTGTTCGGGACTAGGTAATGGAGATTATCTTACTATTCGAGAAGGTTCTCTTCATACAAAACAGTTAACTGAGTAGTGCACTATATCTCAACTCCAAACAAACCTGCTGTTCTTTTGTGATCTCTAATCACCTCGTGTGTGTTCGAAGAATGAGATCTGTTTTCAATTAGATCGGATGATCACTTTATGCTTACTTTTCAGTGCTTTTTCCAGTAAGGAAGCTAAATAGTGATTACGAGAAATTTCTCCAAAGACGGTCTCTTTCTACTTCAAACCACCAAAGATCTCCCGACATCTAAAAGACCACTTGGCGATCTGCCGTTCTAATTAGCAGACGACATTATTGGAAAAACGACAAAGTCTGATAATCCTCTTTCCTTTCGTTCGACTCGTGGCTGCAAACGTTACCTGCGAAGCAGCGTGAGCTGCAGGAATTTGGTTGTGTTTAACGATAGTGTGAGGTCCTAAGTTGCTGTGTTAACGCGGCACAATGTCAGTTGAGGCTGTATCCGTGCCCGATGCCGCCAACGATTCGGTTCAACAGATAAATGCAGACGAACCACAGAGCTCTACTCACGAGCTTCAGAGCAAAATCAGTAGCGACAACAAGGTCCATCACGTTGACGACAAAACCGCTCAAGACTCACCGGAAAAGAGTAACCGGGTAACGAACAATGCAGCAAACGCCAGGGCTAAATCAGAAAGCTCCAATGGCTTTAGTCCAAGCGCCAAGCAGGGCTCTGAACATCAATCGGAAGGTACACACAAGGTTGAGTTGATAGCGAAGGATCTCCACGCGACAGTAAAATGGTGAGTTCTATTCGGCCTTCAGGTGTGACTCTGTAAGAAAAAATAACACTTTACGTGAATAGCTTTCAACCTATAAAACAAACTGTACATGAACTGAAACCCGTACTTTTTGCAAAATGGGCGCTGGCACAATAAAACTACCAATTGTACCTTGCTTTAATTTGTCAGATGCATACGTGGATTGATTTTTTAGTGCTCTTACTATGCCTTAACAAACGCCTCGCTTACTAAGCCTGTACAACCAAAACTTGCGAATAAGGTAAGCTTGCTTCAAATTATCCACCTAAGATCTGGCCTATGTTATATCACACTTCGTGGGTGCGTCTTGTTCACTTGATCAGGTATAATGGGCAGATGCATTACGGTTTCCTGGTTCGAACGGATACCCAGCGCGAAGTGTTTGTACACCGAAATTCTATTGTGATGTCGGTTGGCGAACCTCCATGGCTTAACAGGAACCAGTCAGTAACATTCGACTTATGGACGCTGCCTTGTGGTCGCTTCGACGCAAAGAACGTTCGATCAGCCAACGGTCAACCCATCACGTTCGGCGATCCGGGAGCATCCAATCTGTCAGGGTCGCACAGGCCCCCACTTCAACACCAAACATCGCCAAGTAATCAGCATTTTCGTCGGCAACAGCCAGGATTTGCCTACGGCAGGCCCCAACTTCGTATGCCCATTCACGGACAGTACGGTACGTTTTCTATTCAAACGTCACCAAAAGATTGATGTCTAAGCCGGGGTGTTTTCGATGTAGAGCCGCTTGACGTCGCCGTAACATGATTGCCGTTTCCATACTGTCATGCTACTCTCGGGTAACGAAATTACTGGTCTGAATAAACGTAATTGTCTCATGCGAGTTCATGAGAAGCATAGTAGGCAGTTGCATGGGTCTTTCGATGCGGTGAGCGAGTCAATTGAAAGCGATTCAGCGCCTATTCCAGACACGATCTAGTGTCGAACGAAAGTGTCGCTGTCGGTATGCTTAGTCGCAGCTAGATTGGGAAGATACACTTACCTACCTGCAGCTAGACTGGCCAAATTTAAAAGTATTTAACGGCAGACAACGGACTATCATGAAGAAATCCTCTCCTGTTCTAATAAAAGCAACAATTGTTCATTTGTTCAGAACAGTAACAATAAATGAAAAATACAAGATTCTTATGTCCACATGCGGCTTGCCTACACCGAATTTCGATAACGAAGACCTTTGCGGAGAAACTTCACTCTAAATGTTATGGTGTACTTCTTTCTTTGGTTTCTTACAGGTTACTACTGTCCAGTGTGTGGTCGCTTATTTGACTATCCTTTATTTGGTGGTAGATTTCGCGGTAGCTTCAAACCTCTTGGCGGCATGAATAGCCCCAGAATGAGTGGGCGTACCTAGGTCTGTCGTGACCCATCAACAAACTCTTCTAAATCCTATGAGCTAACAGTACGCTACCTATTAACTTTAGACATAGGAACAGTTTGCAGTTTTTCAAAAAGAAGAAGCAATGGATGTGGTTTTGTAAGTTTCGTTCATGAAACTTCTTTTAAATTATCTTGTGTATTGTGAATACCTTTATCGAATTTTTAGCGGTAAACTTTTTGGTTAACGTATTTATATTCAGAAGGAAAGTCATGACAAAACGAAGGAAAGTAGCTCCTTCTCTGGAAAATAATTCAGTCCTTTAACATATTCGAGTTCCTGATCACTGCAGCAACAACTGCGTTGCAACAGACGCATTTGTTTCGCAGTAGGGCAAAGCAAAACATGCCGAGTTTGATGTAGCTTGTGGATATGTAGTGCAATAGCTGCTTAATAGCAGCCGGCAGTGATAACAAGGACGGATTTATTCTGGAGAGGGGAATTCAAAAGCCAGATGTCATGCGCGCGCTTGTAGCGTGCCTTATAGTTTTCAATTTAATAAATGTTCATTTTTGTAATACGATGGTCCTCGGTGTGTGTTTGCTGAGTTAGTTATTTACTGCATCTGCCGTATGGCTTTTGATGCGATTTTCAGTTTCTCTCACACAGATTCTTGTAGTGGCTTCTTCAACTAAACGACCGTACTGCTTTTAAGGAAATACTGCTGTTCACTAACCGATTGCCATTATCGGCACCACGACCCAGCGTTGGTATAGCAATATAGCTGAGGTATACGGCAAGAGTCCTTGAATTGATTAGGTATGAAGCGATATATCGTCAATCATACTTGAATTTAGGCTTTGTGGGTTTCTTTCCAATTTGGGTTAGTGGGGTCGAAGAAATGATTGATTTTTTTACCCAAGCTTGCAATAGATGGTAGAATAAATGTTGTCTCTCGTGGATTTCAGACTGTCTGTTGTCCCAGACGGGTTCGATTGAAGGTGGTCGTGAACAGCTATGGCAATAGGAATAGTCAACATGGGTTTGATAGGAGCCTTGATTTGGAGAAGCAGCAAGAAGCAGATTGTGTGGTTTTTCGAAATTATCTAAACTTACGGCCTTGCCATGTCATTCTGCGCTTAGATTTAATGGTTACTTGTCTATAACTTTTGTGCATAAAGACTGCTTCGTGCGGTAGAAGATTCGCTCGCAAAGACTATTCATACGCGCGTGCTCTTATTCTATTTAACTGGCAAAACAAATATGAAAGATACGCCAGGAATGAAACGTTGGGATTACGGCTTCTATAACCGCTTGTACCCTATTCAGCTAGAATTTCTAATTGTCTGAATACTTAATGTATAAGGCCGCTTACATGTATAGAATAAAATAAAAGGGAGTGCTTTTTTAGTTTTATCCACCAATAATAAAATCATGGTCCCCTTCGTATGAATTTCGTACGTTCAAAGACACTTTGTTAGTCTTTGTTTTGAAGGAACATGGAGCGGAACTTAGCTATGCCGCAAAACTGTAGACAAACTACCTTAAACCATTGGTGTTCCGCCACCCACGCTACGGTAAATCTATTCTGCAAGATCTGCAGTTTTGTTCCAAGCCATTCCGATCACGTAGTGCCGTACATCATCGTATACGTTGAATTTGTTGAGTGAACCATCATGGACGTGTTTGGAAAATAGGATGAATTATAATTTATGATCGCAAAGCCTTTTTTTCCGATGGGAAAAATTGTATGTTCTCCTACTGACGTCACATTTGCGTGCTATTGCGTCCAAACATTGTTGTTTCGGCTAATATGATTGTTTTCATTTACGATGCCTTCGATAGCCTCACTCCAAAAGAATAATCTGTGTAACGATCGTACTGATATAATTGAGCTAATACAATCGACTCATAATTTCAAACAACAGTCAATACTAAAAATTGAACATAATGTACAAAGGGCCTTGATACAGAAATCCTACAGAAAAAAACCTCCTGCATAAGGTCTGGGGACGCTGTCTGAAGAGTTTTTCCGAAGTCTGATTAATTACAATAAAAGCGTGAGGCCTGCAATGTCTCATATCGCAGCAGATGAGCAGGCGTACCCTATGCGTTCTAGAAAATCATTAAGCCAAGCCTTTATTTGGCCTGTTTGGTTCAATAACGAACTTAAGGTTAAGTAGTATATAGTACGCCATCTCTTGTTTCTACCCATATTGCTATAGCTTACCTGGACAGCAACAAACAGCGTACGATCTGAGTACGAATTTGTCTTTGCCTGTTAGCGTCAACGATTCAGCGGGTTTCTTTAACCTTCCGAACGATTTAGTACTGCTCTAGAAACGGTATTGTTAACGTGACGCGTCTGGTTGTTCCACACCGGCGCCGACAACTAGCGCAAGATATTGGCGGGCGAAGTCGATGTAAACGTGAGAGAGGACAGCATTGAGCGATTGTGGAGGAGGAAGACCCAGCGGCAACAAATAACGAATTAGAGCGGAAACGTATGCTCTTACCTTTCTATACCGCTTGTTCTTGGCCGATGTTGGCTGGAGCGCGCTGAGGCCGCGCAGGCATAACATCTGCGGTAGCACACCAGGGTACTCTTAGGCACAGCAACGCCAGCGCACGACATTACAGGACAAAATCCCAACCGGACGTGATGTGCTTCTAGACTCTTGGTTAATAAGAGATACGTCAATACGTCATTTACTAATGGCGCCAACATCCGCCGACGAGTAGCCTCGTGTCGTACGTGTATAAAACAACAGTTGGTATGTGAAATGCCCAAGCAGGCGTTCTCCGAGAAAGAACGAACAGGATGTACGCGGCAGGGATGGCCTCGGCTCCCTGCATTGCCTAAACCGGTGCGTAAATTTGCACATATGTAACCTTTACCGCCAATGGCCTGTTCCCTGTTTTGCTAACTAGTTTCACCGCCGCCCTAATGTCGGAATCAAACGCTCAACATCTGACGACGCGCACAGCAAAATCCTCAGACCCGTCGACATATAGCAAAGGCAATAGCAATATACACTTCCCACTAGTACTACTTGTACCGCCGCTAGATTTTGGAGGCATAGTTGACTAGGTACCGGCAGACGTTATTTCCAGGGCGTAGACGGCCAGCGCGCGGTGTTTAGTTCGGTGCGCCCTCTGAGGAGGCCGCTACCGCTGCTGTTGCTGCCGTTTCGATTATCGCGGTTGTTAATAACAAGTGTTCTAACGTTAGCTGGTAACTGTATTGTCAGGTGATCTGGCTGTATCTGCTACCATCACCTGAACATCCCTTGACTCGCCGATTGGTGCTCTACGGTCGTCGGAGGCACTGTTTGTCATAGGTCAGCGCACAGAAGGTGACTATCGTCAACCAGATCGGAACAAAGAGGTGACGGCGTGATTCGAAGCGCTACGCTGGGTTATGCGCCGTGTGTTATGTGGTGAATATTGACCGGATTGGAGGATATCAACTCCGCCGGCCTCCTTGGCAATAGACGGTGCTACTTTGTTATACGCTATAATACGTTGTCTCGTGATTCTCGACGGACTTGCTCGACGTGACTTATAGTTGAAAAAAATCGTGGACGACGCAAGTGGCTGCAGGGTTATGTGCTGTTCTCCTGTATCAACCGAAGGACAGATAGAGCTAATGAAAACTATGTAATCATATCGAAGCCCCAAAAGAGTCTATGCGATGCTGACAAAAACGAATAGACAACGCAATACAAACCTACAACAGTTCAGGCACTTGTAACTAGGAAAAGGCGTCTCGGACTATATACCTGACCAAATTCGTTAACAGTTTACGCTAAAATTGCTATTGCTCTTAGTCAAAAGAGAAGCCTGTTTTCAGGTACCCTGACGCAGTTAGAACTGCTGCCAGCTAACAGTGCATTGGCAAAAAATTGAGCTTGCCTTAAACTGCAGCCTAAATTAAGGGTGCGATGCCGTCAGTTCAACTAAACGTGCCACATCTTCAGGAACGGCGCCAGTCGTGCTGTCCGGAACGTAAACCGAAGCTGGCTCTGCGAAGAAGGGGTCCGGATTCGAAGTACTCCTGGCTAATTGCACTTGCTTGTGGCGGAGTAAACCTGTTCATGCACGGCTCATCAAAGGTATTGTCACATTTTCCATAATCGCGTCATGGCAAGGTGAGCCGTACGCTGCTAGCTAGACTAAATACAATAATGACACAGGAACTACAACTTCTCTATCTGTATATAGTGCCGGCCACGTTAGTTATAAGACTTCGTTTTACTGACTCGTCAATAAAAATGCTTTAATTTCACACAATTTGTGGTAGCAGACACTCTGCAGTTATCGAAATTAAATACAAAACGCATATAAGTCGTACAATATAAACGATGTTTAGAACGTGACAACGGTCCGTATATGTGAACCTGGCTGCCATCGGACACGGACCATAGTCTAGAAGACAGTGTCGAATCTATTTTCGTTATAACATTTGTTAGTTATCCCGTTCCAAACCGACGATAGCTTCATTGAGTTCGGGTAGAAATTAAATAAACCGTTGCATACCTAAGCCATTTTCATGTTTATGTAAAATATCAAGCAGTCGATGAGCGTATTACTGCAACATATGAGCCAAGTTTATTATTCGTACAGTGTTATAGACGCTTCCAATATATAGACCACGCAAGGAGCAGTATCTCATTCGAATCTGCCACGTCCACCGAAGTTCCGTTCCGAGCTTTACCGGCCTAGCGTTTATATTATGTAGTATGTATTAGTAGAACAACGTCAAGAGTTTTTTGCATTGCTCTTAATTAGAAAAAGAAAAAAAAACATGGCAAGCAAGCGAACAGCTGTCAATATTATCTAATAATGTTTGCGCATCTTGTCGTTGACGGGTGTCCAACAAGTGTCCATTAATTGTATTGCCGAGCTTTTTACAATTCTCCCTTGATTGGAGTTGTCTGTATGTATCGAACTGGAAGCAACGGAAGTTCGATATCGTACTTAAGAGGCTCGACACTCGAGTATGTCATGAAGGTGTTTTAGTACGAAAAGAAACCATATTCTGTTTAGTCTCTGATTAAATCCTGCGCAATTAGACCATAACAGCCTCGTTGTCATGTGTGATTTGTAAATTTACTTCCAGTGTTAAATTAGCAAAACCCCATTGTCAATTTGCACATTGTAATCTGCTTCCGTTTGCGGAACTCATAGATTCTATTCCAGGGTGACACAGTTTGGTACATCTGATGTATAATAGGCCACCTATGAAACTAGGTAATCGTTCCAGCTTGACGGCGCACCTGTGAGAATACTACCAGTGTTGCGTTGGGCCTCGAACCCAGCTTGTATGCAGAGAATAAGTAATAAATTCTAATCAGGTTGGGTCAAGAAAAACAAAATAAATTAACATTGTCCATTGGTTTATCCTGTCCTATTCATGCCCGAAACTCGCTATATCTTTTTTCTTGCGTAAACATCAAGTCATATAGCCAGCTAACCTTGCAAGAAACTGAAACTGAGTCATCCTAGCATTACTCGTAGGCGGCTCAGATCGTTCGTCTTTATTCCTATTGTATGATCATGTCAACGGAGTAAGCTGTTGGAAAAAGGGCTGTAACTTATCATTCCTACCTAAGGCTTGATATACATATCCCACAACAAATGGCTTGGCCTGTCAACCTGAAATCTTTATTAATTCTTTTTTTTTTTGCTTATGCAGCGCTAGCCAGTAAACAGAACAGCAGAGCTTGCACCGGGTAAGGTTGTTGCAGGTCGTGGTTAGCTGGTAGAGCAGAGGCCTCCTTTCTTCGTGGAACAGACAAAGATCCCAGTGCGGGACTAGTAAATAGGCTGTCATTGTTGATTAGTACCAGTACCAATTTAATAGATAGAGAGTGAATCCTGCTGCATGACAGGTATGGCTTTTTCAAACAAGTCCAGTTACTCACTAAGCGATCTGACGTGTGATGTTCATGGAATTCGTGAAGGATACTATGAGCATCTGTCATTGAATAGTACTTCTGGGACGATTCAGTATTTCTAAACGTCTACCGATTTATTAAGGTCCGCGATTGCTGCGACGTATTTACACGACCTTTTGTTGCAGAGCTAGATCTTATCGATAACCGTGGATGTTCTCGAATCTAGAGTCGCAATATCAATTTTTTTTTTAACGTCAGTGGAATAAGACCTTACTTGCGCCAAATTACGTATCCAAAACTGGACTGCATTACATTTTTCAAGTTAGAATCGGATGAACTTAACAGAAGGTGTTCGCTGCTATCTCTTCCCATAGACTAGTATTGATACGCGATGTTTTATTCAGCATGTTAAACAAGTAGCTTAAAAAGCGCTCAGTTTTACCTGTAAATTTGGACAAAATGCTGTCTTAAACGGTCAAGTTTCTGAATGCTAGAGGCCAGAGATTATTAAATCACTCACATATGCGTGACCACAAAGTAAACAGCTAAGCTGTCTGATCAACAACGATGTATTTCGTATCATAATAACATATGCTTGACCAGTGTTGCGTGTTTCTTTTTTTATTTAGCAATAATTGAAAACAAGCTGGACTTTTTTCTGTACACGTTTTGATTATTATCAGAGCATAGCAAAAATCAGTAGTTTTAGCTAAGATTTAAACATTAATACTCGATGCCTGGAAACTTGTGATGTTAATCCGAAACCGCTAACTCTGTCAGAACCTGTGAACGTTTAGCGCCACCCACACGACTGACATTTTCAGACAGAATTGCCCTGTAGGCGTAATGCTTGATTGGGGACTGAGAGTTAAGTTATGGAGGAGCGCCTGTCTCTCCGCATTTTGAATGAACCAAACTGTACACTTATCGGTAAAAAGTAGATTTTATAGATGTTATTTTATCGTAGAACGTATCCGTCGAGCGTCAACGATTTTTCCGTTTTATGCAGAAAATTTCAGCTCGATTCTCTTATGGCATTACTTTCTGGTTATTTATATCACGAAGACCGGAAGCAACGTCTTGAAGCAGCCCTTTGATCCAAAAGTGAATACATTTAACTAATAACCTTTTTTTCATATCGTAGGTTGTTGGGGTTCTGTTTGTGGCATGGATCATCGAGTTGAAGTGTTCGAGGGAAATGGCAGCATGGCCCTTCGCTTTGCATACTACTCTCATTCATCTGGCAGGTGAGCTCATCTGAACCTATCGTTGGTTAACTTGTGCGCACGTAACTGCTAAAATCCTAGTACGCAGCTTGTCTTGCATGAGTGCTATATACTGTATCTCGGATACTCTTTCATCGCTTTGGCTGACCATATAAGTTAATGAACTATAACGCGGCCCCGCCGCAGGGCGTATGGTCGTTTTCACCAGGCATGATAGATTCTCTTGTTTGGTATCGCGAGGACGAGGCCTCAAAACCTCGATGAGGCATTTCACTTCAACGATCTTATCGTTCCTTCCAAATTGCCTCACATGTACAGACGGGCGTAACTCAATGGGTTCTTTGTCGTCTCGAGAAGAGCTAAAATGTGAAGGCTTACTGCAATATGTGATTTCTATGAAATTGTTTCCTGTTAGTCACAACATTAAAATATTTGTTCGTTTTATAGTTTATGGAGGCAGGTGTGCAGTCATAGCCTTATCGGCGCACGATACAGGCTTCCGTTCAGAATTTAGTTCGTGCGAATCCATACTGTTACTGCTATCTTGAAGGTAAATGAGGGATGCAAGACTATGCTTTTTGAGGGTCCTGTGGAAAAAATACATTTAAAGGCCACCGTAGTCAGTAGTTCAGCCGCGAACTTTAATTCCAATTCGATCTCAAATCACGCTTAATAGCTTCACGTCATGACCTCACCAGCTCAGTAAGAGTTCACACTATGAACATGCTCAGCGTACGACTTTCGATATATACAGAACTTTAGTGAAGAAGCAAAAATGCCATGTACATAGTCTACAGTTGAATTAGAGGTAATGAAAAACCACTTGTCCATCCGCAGATAGTATTTCTCTTCGTTTTCTTCACCGATATTTTAAGCCCGCCCCTTTTTTTTAAATTTTTGGCCACTTCGTCTAAAATTCAAAGGAACTTACCTAGAAAGCAAAGCATCCGTTGAATTGTATCGTGTCACGTTGGCGAAACTCGATGGAACCGATGTTTGGAATAGAAACATGAACCAACATCACGCATCTGATAACGTACCGGATTAAATCACGCTGTGACATGTTTGTTTGGCTCTTTTGGACTGCCGTGATATATGGTTTCTCCTAGAAGCAACATAATCATGGCAACAGGGATCTATCCGCCTTTTAACAGCGCGTTCAGCCATTCCAGAATAGCACATTTTACCTTACCGCATTCGAAATAGATGAATGAAGTGCCCTAGATGGCTGATAGTTTATCAAACAAGGTTACTGTCGTTGTTGTCGTTTTTAAAAGCGATTCAACATAATGTTCCACATTCGTGTTGATGATGACGCTGAACCAGATGCTTAATCACTGCCGAATCGTTACAAGCTAGGGAAAACTACTGGAAGCAAAGTGCAGACAATATGGTCTTGCACTTCTAAATCTCAGTGACAATAAAAACGGCGACAAATAAACAATTGTTAACACAGCCCCCTGTCCCGTTCGAGTGGACGCTTCGGGAGGCTTTCGGCCAGCGAGCAGGACGAAATGGTCACTTCCAATCAAAACTGGACATAATAGCTGCTAGGCTACAAAAATAGCGACACTGACTTTGACATTTATCAACTCTAAGGTTTAAACACCTTTATTCGGTTTCTGGCTACTATATGACATACGTAATCTGGGTTACAGTAACGCAGGCCGCTAATGAGCACAGAATGCTGTTAAATTATGAGAAAGGTCAATATTAAAGTTTTGCCATTGTGAAGAAGACTAACTTCTCCGATGTTTAAATGTCGAAATCGTACGCTTTTGTGCGGAACGAAGCTAAGCGGATGACGAAAGCATCACTGATATAATAGTACCCTCTTTTGATAGCCTGCAAATAAACTTCTCCAACCTATGTTTTTGCAAACCGGACAGACGGTGCAGTTGCAACACGCTATGGCGGACGACTTCTTTTTCATATTGAATTTACTCGCTCTGTTCCTTCGGTTGGTCCCCCTTCCCGTTTTTATGTAGTCGTTGTCTTTTATAATGGCGCTTAATCTTGATCAAATGGGCAACGATACGACATTATCGCTCATATTTAGCACGTAACTGATAGTCGAAGAGTGGCAATAAAACGTGGGAATTGCCTGTCACACTACCTCAAAACCGCTTTAATCTCGAAGCAGCGATTCGGTTGAGTATAGATGGATCATTCTCGAAGAGCATGAACTATAGTCGGCAGTGTTATCAGACGTATATGCCGATGCGTGGCTCATGTTTGGCACCGCTATAAATCCGATGTCGCCCACCGTACGTCGTAGCGATCAGCTAGCGGCGTATTACACGAAGAGCTTTAACGGGGGGATAACGAAAACTAGTTTCCGTGATCGGTGTTACGTCACATAGTGACCATGACAAGTTTAGTGAATGACATAAAACAAACAAACAATTTAGCAACAAACAAAAAAATTAGCAAACACCTACGATAATACTGCTGTGCATAGATTTAAATAATAAAGCATTACAATGACGTCGCTACGATCCATTACGATACGAGGAAATACCTATACTGAGTTGAAAATTGTTACCGTACGGCACAGAACGTCCCTTGCTCTGTTCGTACGATCGTCTGCACAGTCTTTAGTAGTAAGATTCTTTTTTAAGACATCTATCGAGTCCGCTATGGATCGTGCTACGACTGGGTTGAGAATGTGTCAAGACTAAATTGGAGCACATTTTTACTTGCGAATAGCCCAACTCAATATAAGTGTTTACTCGACAGTAACATAGAGCAACGTACGTATCGATATTTTTATTATTAACGTATAATTTTTTCCGAAACCGAACTTGCGAAAGCTTCACGGCGGGGAGCATGGAGCTATTTCTTTTGTCCTGAACTCTCTAAGCTAACTAGGTGTGCTTGTCAGTTGTACCGTCGGTCATAAAAATTTAACGTTCCTGTTAGATGTATATAATGATAATGCTTCTGTGCGTAATGTAAAGTAACTTCAAATTAGATGTCATTCCTGTAGCCCCAAATGGATGAACGTCAAACTTGAAATAGTCAGACGTATTTATCACTGTTATACAGCGCAAGCGTAGTATAACCTAAACACGTCGTTTTGGTTGACTCGGCCACCGTCCAGACTTGATGGGGATCCAGGCTGCCTTAGGCTGCGAAAGAGAACATTTCCATTTATTCCAACTCTACGATTGAGTGGAATAGCCTGAATTTTGTTTGCAGAAATCAATTCAGACTCGAGTGTATTACAGTATTCTATGAAAATCGACGGCTGATTACTCAGAGAGCGATCGATGTTGGGACTGAGCATATCTCAGAGTGCAACTTTTGCAAGAAAGCGGAAATACGGCCGCATCTGCAGTAGCAATAGCGCATTACATAATTTTCAACTCAGTTATCCTGATGATCGTATACTGTGTTCGTAGATAAAGCTTGCGTAGCGCAAGTTCGCCATGGACGTGTCTCGTAGAATGCCCTTTATCACCAAGTTAGGGTGACGCTCTCTGCCTTTAAATCATACGCCAGAATTGATTTGGGTGTCAATATTCAACGAATGGGTTCCAGTTCGACCAGGACATAACCGCTGCGTGCTTTCACGTTGTGATTTGGGTACGCTACGGATCTCTTCTTCTTCGAAAATGAGTTTCCGACCTCGAAGTGCATGGTCCTTGTTCGTAAACAGCTTCTGTAGCGAGGAGCTAGATGTAGGGCTACCGAAGCAGGCGACGGGCGCAACGAGACATTACCTTACTGATTTAATAGTACTGCACACCGTGCTCACGAGATAAGTGTCAGCTGTTACAATAAGTGGAAGCCGACTGATAAATGAAAATCCGGTCAATATTGACATGCGACAAGTAATTAGAAATATTAACGTGGCATAGCCAATTGGCCCACTTAAACATCCTATTGGCCTGCCCATCTGGGTCATTAGAAGCCGTCAAATTAGCATTAGATGAAGTTCGTGGTGGCATATAGAGGCATCAGTGAGGTTGAATACTACGTATTAGCACAACTGGAGCAGGCTAAATTAATTCTATCGGGGTTTGTGCCTGCTTGGGTCCTAGGAACCGCTTGGGCCAATTGAAAAGGCGGAGGCACACCGAGCAGGAACGAAAAGGCATTGTTGTGCGACCAGAAAGTTTCGAGTACAGTTAATGCGTATTTCGGGAAAAAGTGGTGCCTTTAGAGTTCAGAATAAATGTCTTGTCTACAAGTCTAGGTAATCAGAAACTAACGAAAATTTTCTTCTGAGCGCAGCCGCCAGCATGCTGGTCAGCTTATCCTGTTTTGCCGTATAAATCGCGGGAATTTATGATATAGAAGTCGAAAAAATCATAGAACGTAAGGCTACTTTTTCCCTATGGTGACAAAGTGTGGTATTTGATACATTCGAACACGGGTACGCGAAAAGACAAACGCAGGAAGACATAAAGGCGATGTTTTCTTTCAGAGTGACGTCCAACTAACTGTAGACAACCTGAACTAGCATTAAAATTTATATTGGAACAGTATTGCGACGGAAAGCGAAAACCTGCCTAACGAAGCTAGAGTACATTCACGCATAGAGAAGCACGTTAGGGCCTTTTCAAAAAAGTCTTTTCTACATAGATCCGTGGTATTATGTTTCGATTGCAGCAATGTTGCTATGCTCATACGCTCTACTCCAGCTTGATACGATTTCTCTATATCTTCGTGTATCTTTCAGTTCTTTAAAGTGCAGGCTTTCTTCGAGCCGGATCAAAACGTAGCATTAGTCTATTTACCGTAATTGTATGTTACGTTTCAAAATAAATATTGCTATTCGTGTGATTATAGAAGAATATACATTATGCGCATAATAAATCTGCGAAAGCTCGCTCAAGGACAAAAAGCCTGACTGGCCTTCAGTTGCCCTTTGATATGTTTACCTTGTTACCACTTGACGCTGGACGATTACAGATGAGGTTCTATCCGTTCTACTATGCGACACGAGTTCATTCAAATGATCGATTTTAATATTCCAAAATGAACGTAGTCAACATATTTATCCAACTTGTTCCAATGGCTACTTACTGTTTTTTTTTGCCAAGAAACTAGTAGAACTGCTATCCGATGTAGCGGACGTCCCAGATAGGATACGAGACGGCCAATAACCTTAATGGGACCGGTCTCTTGGTGCTACCGATCAGATATTAGCTCTGCTTCCGTGACAAAACAATCTTTGATGCATTTAAGAAGGAAGACAACCGCACCTGTTCTAATATTTGAATGAGGAATAAGTGCCGACATGGTCGTTTAATAGGTAATAGTTGACTATGGTCGCTTAAGGTTCGAAAGAGCTAACGAGCATGGCTGAAAAGCGAATCTGCGCTTTTCGCTTCCTATCGTTCGTTGCACAAGATCGTGACTAATGCCACGGATATTTGCTTACATTTCTCACCGTTACGGCCTGACGGCTTAAGCGATTGACCTTATGTCTGAGAACCTCTGAGGGCCGAGCTCAGCCGTCGGCACACAACTCATATGATTAAATAAATACAGTTTAATTCTTTACTATAGCTTGCCACAATAGTGCGTCTCCTTAGACACACGCGCTGCGTGAACGGCTGCACCCATAGTCTCTTTAGTTGCTATCAACGTTACGCTCCTACCGTCGCAGTTCACGTATCGTATTAAAAGAACTGTATTGTTCGGATACTACAGTTTTTCTAAAAGTTAAGAATTTGAAACCTCTGAACGTAACACGCTCCCAATAGCACTAGAAACAAACGACAACGTCTAAGTAAAATCCATTCTCAGGCGCCTATGGCGCGATAGACACGTCTTGTTCGAGAAACCACAGCGGTAGTCTTGTAGTCGGCAACATTTAGCATTATCTATGTTAGTTTCGTGTTGTCAACTATGGCGCCATACGCAACATCTTTGCCTCGACGATCTACTGTCCGCCGTTGAATTCCATTACGATTAAGCGGGCTGCTTCGAACGCGCATAGAGCGCGAGTCTGTCACTTGAAGAGGATTACTAATAAACAGTCAAAAGTTATCCAGCGTAGTGCGTCTGTTGGGAACGCGTGTTATGGCGGATCGTGAACGTAAACGCGACGTGTACGCTTTCTCGATGGTACCCAGTGAGCTGGTCTGTAGGGTCACGCTTAACACTTTGCCTACTACATAAAAGAGCATTGAAAAGAGCTCTTCGCCCTAGCGCTTGAAAATAGCTCTTCATGTTAGGTGCTCACTTATTTGGTCGCGACATCAAACAGATTAGATACGTAACGATCATAACCTATCGTGATCTGTAACAGATTAGATTGTTTTTTTTTTTTTTTTTTGCAAATTCGAGTTTTAACTCGACACAAATTTCGATATGCCTTGCTCTTCGAACCGTGCTTCAAACATGAAGATAAAAACAACGATGGACATAATATTACACTATTCAGAATGAGATAAAGTGAAGTGGTCGCGACAAAGTGATTTGATATTTGCTTACTTTGATCAATTTCAATGACTTCAGACGTTGAATAGATCGCTCTTTTTGATGCCTGCTTCAGGCCTGACAAATCAAACCTATACAGCTAATGTTATTATTTATTTGTGCCGACTTTTGTGCGTAACGGGGTGCATATTAATATTATGAACTGTAGCATTCCAAGTTGTTGACTGACTTAAACCAACGATGTTCAGAAACCGTTGGCGACAATCTCAGAACCAGTTCATGTGAATAGCTGCGATACTTATGAGAGGTCACGAAGTTCCTACTTCACTGGGCAGCTCGCCGCTGCATTGATCCATCGACGATTGATTGCTACTGGATCCGGTGGTCGATCAGATGACAGCACGTACTCAGGCTTAAATGGTTTGGAACCATAAACGTTTCATTGTCACGGCTGGCTTTTTGAAGATCGCTGAGTCATAGAACAACATTAATCTTGACACCTGCCTCCGCTTTCAATTCTGTCGACGGCCGTATGGTTGCGTAATGAATATAACGACATTACTGACATCTCAAGCGTAGAACATGTACGCATATAGCTAGGAATGGTGCGCAGGCTGAGAGCAAATGAAATTTGTGAATTAAGCTTGGTGATTAAGTGAGACACGAGAACGGTGACCTCATAGAGGACCTCGTCAAAGCGTTGTCTTCTAGCTGTAAACTAAGCATGCCATATAAAATATTTCTAAAGCCGTACGATATGGTAGAATACACTCATAGCAATATTTAATTATATTCTACGCGATAAAGGGACGTTTCGCCGAAAAGTTTCACATCGACAAGGTGATTGCGTTACGGAAAAGAAACGTGCTTTCCCTGAGCATGGAAATTTACCAAAGGCACCAAGGTTATTGCGGTAAATAATCTATCCCTTTATGCATATGGCCACGTACAAAATACGAAACAAAGAGAATCTGTACTTATGTATGTCATGTCGTAGTACTCTTTTTTGACATCGTCACGTTTTCTTGCAATGGTTAGCTCTCAATAGAAAAGCCAGAGTGACCTAATTCGTTCCACGAGTTACTTCATTGGATACGGAATAAACAGCGGAACCTTGTCTACGAGCCAAACTATCTAAGGCGTCAAAGTCTGGACCTTTGTATTATAGGACTCAGAAAAACATTAAAGCAATTCTACACTGTAGGTCAAAATGTAATCCGTTTAAAGAGGCTTGTGCTGTTAGAAATATCCTTATCTGCATACGAAACCCGTAAGCGCAGTACGAGATAAGAGGCTGAAGTCTCCGCTCCCGCAAAATGCCAGTATAAACACCTACCTGTCTGCAGTTGCGTACACGCTTCAAGGTATCGTTTACGAGGAGCATTTCGACTTCAGCCTTGTCTTACCCCTCATGAACAGGTCCAGTATTCGGTCTACTCTCGAGGCGTCTCCCGATCCGAATAATTATAATCGCGTCGTCGTTCGTATCAGCGCTATCTGTTGCTCTCTGCTACTTTGCGCCGGATATAATCTGGTTATCGGTACTCTTCGGAATCATTCACGGTAAGTGTAGTCACCCCCATTAAATCAATTTGTCCCACAAGTGTCTCACTGATGTTTTATCACAGTGCACGACACCCAAGTGCAATGTCTATCAAAGGACGGTGACAAATTTGCCTGTCACATTGTTTAACATACATTTAGATATATAACCAAGATAATTACAACTTATCCGTGTTTAGCTTCGATTATATGTTGTGTGAAAGTATTGCACGGATAAGCCAATCGAGGAGGAGCCTTACCTAAACTTATTGACTGACAGGTGCTGCGACATGTGGGGCTGTGCTGATGACTCAGGTGTGCATCAATCAGCATTTCGTTGAAAAGCGGGGAACTGCAGCTGGCGTGGTCGAAGCTCTTGCAGCAATCAATGGAATCGTGTTCCCTCCTTTACTGGAGGTGCACAACTTTACTTAGTACATATGATACTCACTATAATCGTATTCTCATACGTTTCATTACTCATTAGATACATCGAATAGATCATTTGGCGATGTGTTGGCAGAAACCATGCATATGAAAAAAATACAGTTGAATTAACTTCATTATAAGGAAACATTCGGTTATTATATATTATGTCATCGCCATGGGTCAAGAATCGCGTTTTACCCATAGGGGCACATGGTGTTTGAATTCGCGGGTGATAGGCTTTCGTAAAGGACCACTGTAACTAACGAAATGTTCTTATGGTGCCATGAATAGTAGGAAACTATATTAGAGGTTAGACAACTCACGTTGCTTTTTCCCTGATCACAGTATTCGCTACGAAATTACGGTTTGCATTGGTCGATGCTCCTTTTGGGAGGATGCGTATTGAACGCCTTGGCGTTTTCGTTTGCTGTTCGATCACCATCATGGATGGTAGGAGATCCCACCGAACGACGAAAAAGTATATTCACAAACGCCGTCGTTGCCAATAAAGGTTTGAAAATAATTTTTACCTGTTTGACTCTATAAACTGGCCTAATCGAACGTTCGTCCCATTCGAATTGTATACGATACAGAGTTTATTTTCACGTGACTTTGTTTGGATATTACAGTGATTGTTCTGAAGCTCGCATCGCCTAAACTATAACGCCAGATAATCTATAGGCTTTCCGATATTTCAGGATTGGCAAGTTGGATCAACCATTTCCAGCCGCAAATGGAAGATGATAGTTCGGACGAGGATGAGACCAAGGGAACTCAGGGGGACATCCGCTACTACGTGAGCGAAGGAGGGGGAATGGCCACGTCACAGGTATATATAGACGGTACCGTTTGATCCGTGGCAGTAAACTAATCCTGCGGAAAATCGCATCTGATCACTAAAGAAGTATTCAAGAACGCTATGTTTACCGATATGCGTTTCACTTTCTCCAGCATAACGAGGCGCGGTTGTAGGTTCGCTGTAATACCAATACTAGCTTGGCCTATATGTTAGCTGGTATGTTCTTTTTATAGGTGGACACAGAAGTGCAGTTAGCAAGCATTATCCATCAAATTAATGACTCGAAGTACATTCAGAGTGATGGAAAGCTTGATTTTAGCACGATTCGTCAGGATCTCCAGGCAGCACCTGGCGCCAAATTCAAAAATAGCGCCTCCGAGGGTGATATGCACGCTGCAAGTAAAAGTCCTCCTCAGTACGGATCAACACAGCAGATTGAACAAAGCCATCTAGAACCTCCTTTAGTATCGGATGCCCCCAACGGCGCCAGCGATCAACAGCAGGTTATTAATCAGTCTATTTTGTAATGTTTGCTCGTTCGCACACAAGTAAAAGGGTTTACACACGCAAACCATGGAAGAGGAGGCGATGATATAATAACTTTTACCGCCATAAACTCACTAATATTATGCATAGTTCATAGCTCTCTGAGTATGATGAACACCAGGAATTTCGATACAAAAGACAAAATGCGCTGCTTGTATGGCTACCACGCCGCCTCATAGGTTTGTTGGAGAAACTTCTGCCTGACAAGTCTAGCGAGACCCACTTCGACTATGTCTTCTAATAGAGTAAGTCCTTGATGCTACCGAAGAGGTAATTCCGAGTACTTGTTCACACAAAGAAAATGGTCAAAGATGAGATTTAAAAACAAGATAAAATCAAACAGAAAATATAGATTATACGATATGGTTTGATGCAACAAGTCTGCCAGTTGGTTACTGTTGATTGATCAGATGACTATGCAAAGTAAGCAGGGTGTCAAAATTGAGATTTTTTTCTAATGAATGTCTATCAATTTGCATTATGCAGGTTCTGTTTATGCCGTTTCCCCACATCCCGACGGGTTATACTCTGTACTCGGAGTTCCGGCGCAGTTCGACCACGATTAACAGACCACCAAAGCTTCCCAAGGCACGTAGATTGAACGAATGTCACTCCAATGGACCCTGCGAATACCATGACAGCAAAAGGTATGCGTGTTAGTCAAATACAGGCAACAGCTTCATATCGCAGCACAGACACTGAGTATGTATAACCCTGCACAAACGTAATAGAATTAAAAAAAAAAATAGGAGATATTTGGCCACACTCGAAATTGTTAAATATAGTATAATCATCTAATAAATAAAGTTAACTAAAATACAGATATGACTTTCGTTTGAAAAAGAACTACTAAAGGCTTCTTTATTACAAACGGCAACCAATAAGGCTGGTCTCAATTTAGCTGACCGAGATTAATCCACGGGTCAGATACGTCATGCATAGCACTTGTCGCATTCACACCTTTCGGTAATTGTCTTTCTTTTTTTTATGGATAGTTATATATGCCGTACATATTTTAACCCTCAACCTTAGCAGTGTTTCAAGACCGAAACATTAGTAGCGTCTGGATGCAAAAACCCTAGCACAGAAGCGTGAACAGCTAAAGCTGGAGAATTGTTTTTGAGAAGCTGTCTCAATTCGACCCAAGCTCTCAAATTCAATTAAATGTCTATAGTATCGATGTCCGGACTCATAATATGACTCGAACTTTCCCTAACACTTCGCGAAGGTACAAACTATGGAAACGAGTTCGACCGTTCTTGACCATCACCTTTTGGCATCTGACGTTCTCGCAGTTTTTGGTGCAGCTGTGCTTGGGGGTGTTCCTGCTTACGATCCTCGATTTCGCTTATGACAAGGTTTGCATCATCTGCACCAGGCTTGCGAGACCTTCGTGCGTAGTCCTTCGTATTTCGGACCAAATATCGCATTTGTATTACGCTAATGGTTGTTTACTATGGAAAGAAACCGAATGATTTCAGCAACTACAAAGTAATTTATCTGTACGCACGGAAAATAACTATTGTTAAAACTTAATTAGTAAGGTGAAAGCAAAGCGGATTCTATCTTTATGGCTATTTATTGATTTTCTATAGGCATTCCCGACAGAGGAGTCAGTGTACTTTGTTTCCGCTTTTTGCCTCGGAGATCTGATGGCCCGTCTCGTAACCGGCTATATTGCCGATGCAGATGTTCTTCCAATGGAACTTATAGTGCTGTTTGCCTGCAGTCTGCAAAGTAAGTTTGCTTACGGGATGTGTATCTAAAATAGGCGTTATATAGCATAGGTGAAATTTTCATTGGCTTAAATGCTTAGAATTTACGTTCGATACTGCCGCTGAGCCTTGCCGTAGGCGATTAACTTCGGACACCGGTCGTAGTGTGTTTACGTCCGTATATGTGCATTGTTTATTTATATTGTAAAGAAGCGATATTAGAGATACTAATACGGAGATGATTAGCTAATTTCAGCGGTTTTTAACGATAGATTAATATCTCTCTCGACACATTGGCAATGTCGGTGTATGCAGCACAAATGAAATTGGTACACCTGGTGGATGAAGAGAGGTCACAAAGGCTCGTACAACCGAGTGTTTTGTTTGATTGCGAACTTAAGGTGTTCAGGCTCTGTACGAAGCGTATTTTTTAAAACTTTACGCGCGTTTTACGAAATTAACCTTATCTATTTATCATTACGTTGTCTATTCTAAACTTATGATTATTTTTCTTTATCACGTTATTCATCTCACAGGTGCCATGTTCCAATGCCTGATGCATTCGCGCTCGTACGTGGCTTTGATACTAACAGCTGTTGGGATGGGTGCATCGCACGGAGCCCGGATTTTCCTGTTGCCAATGTTCATCACGAAGAGTTTTGGCCTTCGCAGGCTTACGCTGAACGTGTCAACGGCTTCATGCATCTGCGGGCTGCTAATGCTCGTGCGACCTTTCATTATTGGTACGTGTTGACCAACACGCATTTACCTAAGGAGTACTCGGCGAAAATCAGAAAACCCAGAACAGTCGCACCATAAAAGTGCGGAACTGACAGAGCCTCGTCATTACTCGATTTTTTCGTAGGTGAATTCGTAGTCAGCATTAAATGCTACTACAATTATCTCATATATACGTTTGCTCGTGCTTTTTCAGGATACTATCGTGATGGCCAGGGTTCGTACAAGGTAGGCACTGCATAGCACATTCTCAATCAACTGGTTCTTATTTTTCCATTCACAGACGCTATCTTAGGGGAATCTAGTCGCATACGACTTAGACCTAAGCCAGTTTAGGGCAATATGCGTGTAACATATTTGTGTAATAAAATAATTGTGTAAAAAGGATAAGCTTTTTTTTAATTTAAGAACGCTTTTCGTTTGCAGGAGTTATATCGGTTACTTTGCGTGGCCAATGCATGTATGGCCATTACCTGGCTCTTCAAGCTGATGCTTGTACGAAGGCGTGATCGACCCAATGTCACATTATAAAACTTAATCCATATATTCGGATATCTGCCTATTCAGCCTTAGATGGACAAAATCCCCACTATCAATCGTCCTCGATTGACTGGCGAGTTGTGACAGCTAGTAGAACTAACTGGATTTTCGTGATTTGAGAAGTTTTAAAATCGCACAGACGTTCGTCTTTCAAGTAAGGCTTTGCTGTCGATTTCCAGATAGTTAGGCACTGACATATAATACTAGCTTGTCTTTGTTCAGAAAAAACGTTGGGTACTCAACTTCGGATATCGTTCAGTGTGTCTCGAAGATGGCACAGGAAAAGTAGCGCCCGTGGGGTAACGGACGGTATCAATAGCGTCTCAGTCCTTGTTGAGATTTAGTGCAATACGCACCTATACGACACGCGGTGGCTCGCTGAGTAATTTATTTGTATACGTTTCACTACGAAAGCAGTATGGCAACTCTGGCAATTAATAGGTATTGTTGTATCAGAAATCACCACGCTATTTGCATAGTCCGATTATCGGTGCCTAATGGAAAAAGGCTGTCCACTTACGCCTCGACAATCGCATATATGGGATGCATATATATATATATATATATATCCAACAACAAAGATATATATATATAGTGTTGAAATTTCTGTATACAGAGTATTTATATCCCCACACAAGCAAGCTACTAGAAATGACCACAATAGAGCCAACATAAGCTAAACACTGACCTTTTCATTTGTTATCTAAATCAGTAATTGACTATATCTCTATAAATACATCATCTGTTGTGTTTTGTTTCAAAACGCCAAGAATACATATTTAACGGTTAAACGCTTGAAATTTCGCTGAAGTTTTCTGTTAGGCCTGACGTCAGACGGTGGGCGTTTCAATACAGGCATCATCGAGATGTCCCTCTTTAACAACAACCTCGATGTGCACTTCATCGCTTACTTACACTGACATTTTGTGCTTGTTCCAGCTGGGAGAAGGACAACAGATTTCCAGTGTAGAATAATGAAGGTCCTCTTTTGCTACAAACACCGAACCCTGTGGCAAATTTTGAATTGTCTGCGCTATTGTGCCTGCAGACTGAACAATTGTTCCTTCCTAGCGACTATGTAGATACGTTTGTTTGGAATAAAATTCAGTGAAAAATGCTCATCACGAAGTCCCGAAGAAAATTTCTACTATTCAAATGCACTACATGAATTGTTCGGAGGGTAAGAGGTCACAGACTAATACCATTATGAAGGCGTGTCCAAATATGAGGCGACGACTATTAATTTTTGAAAAATTCATTTTTATAGAGCTAATCCTAAGCGAGGTTAAATATTATATAACATAAGGAAACTAGAGAAAATCTATTTCAAGCGGCCTTCAAAATGCACGTGAGGTTTTTCGTTGAAGTGTTCAGGTTTGCCAGGTAAGATAGTTTGAAGCCAGATGATAACGAGTCATTTGGTTTTCATTTTTCTAGTTCTTGCAAAACTATTAATATGACTCTCGATTTAGGGTGTTTTTGCAAAAGGCGTTCGAAGTAAAACATCGTTGTGTGCCGGCACACTTTTATCAATGCAGGAAAATTTGGCTAAACTTTATCGTGTTTGAGACATTGATCATTTGAAGAAAGAACTTGAAAGCAGAATGAGCAATTGCATAATTGGATCATCTTTTTTATGCACATTCGACTTATTTACTATAGCGAATTCGGTTCCCGTTTACTTAAATAGTTCAATTAAATATCATAAGTAAAAATGTTTGATTTGGACTTTAGAGATAAGACCATTTTCTGCTACAACAACAGCCGAAGTGAAACATTGATCTGCTGTGTCATTTAAGCCTCAACCAGCGTTATTTTATTGAAGCTCACATCCTTAAAACTTGATGGGGTACATGTAGATATACAGATGTTAATGGTAAACGTATTGATAAAAGTGTACATATAAGCGTATATCACAGTTCAAAGTCTTCCTTTTAGAGAGCGCCAGGTATTTCTTCCATAGAAAGTCGGCTTCCCCGCTTGAGAGCTTCAACTTGGTAAACCATTGGTAAAAGGATTATATATGCACAAAATCATATCTATACAGAACATACGTGAGTGAACTATATTCATAAAAATAGACAAGACAAAACTGTGTAGTTGAAGATTGCTTTGTTGAGAGCACGCTAGGCAGAGGAAAATCTTAACGTCTGATGAAGAAACACGCAATTTTTCCCTTTGGAGAAGAGAACCCGATGGGCCCTGGCCGACGACGACAAGCTTAATTCTTGTTCATTTGACGTTAAGCCTTGACCATTTTGCCGCTCATCGAGAAGAACATACTTAGCATACACATATGGGTACCATGAGGAGATAAAATATAGACCGACGAATAATCTAACAACGCATTGCTCGTTTCGGTTACTAACTTCAAGCTGTCCCCTAAAACAGATGATAAATCTGTTCGCGCCGAGAGGTAATGCTAAAATGTTGCTACGATATTTCTCGTATGGATGTATTTTGCAAACCCTATTCAAACCGATAGTACGCAACGGCATGTCCACTTTCCCTCCTAATGCGTTCTCGTTCAGATAGCTTGCTTCCGTAACGAGTTCCCGCTGCGATACGCTAACTTACTATACATAACACTTGATGAAGTATCCTTACCTGGGGAATCGTACGTCCATCGCAACTTACCTAACCAAATCCCAACAACATAAGTTTATCCGCCGTAAAATTCGCGCCAGCGACATCAATTCAGCTTCTGCTTTGTTTCTATTTACTAATAGTGAAACAACCATGATAATAAATACGACTTTTATGCGGATGTAATATTTTCAACTATAGTATTCATTGAAAATTTTGATTAAATAAGCTCGGCATGACTTCTAGATTTAGAAATGCAAGGGCGAAAACCCAGATAGCATGCTCTTTTAATTCCGGCGGCTGTACGTTATAAAATGAACAAACATCAGTCAGCTTAGATATATCGTGCCGTACTACAGAACGTGCAATAAGTGTACATTCTACTGAAACCGGTGTTCTCTGTGGAATAATCATCGAGATGACGACGACTTTAGCACAAATTGTTCAAGGACACATTTCGAGTAAATCTGACATTTTCGAAATAGGGGATGGCTTTCCGGTTCTTGTGATACAATTGTTCCACTGTATGTTTCCATAAATACACAGAGTTTTCCTCCAAAACTTGACGTGTATCATTGATCAATGATAGTTCGTTTCGGTCAACATGAAGTAGCAGGTAAAACGTGCGGACGTTTTTGGCGTACATTACACGTGAATATTATAGTGGAACTATCCACATGATTTATTCTATACTTCAATTAAACCGACGAAGCGCAGCGATAGTTGTCAGGGGACAAAAACGCGAAAAAATTTTGAAGAAAAAAAAAGTGCATCTTCTAGCCATATTTGACTGATTATGGTATTACCCAAAATGATCGAGTAAACTGTTGTCCTAAATAATTGTTTAGCTGGTGAGGATATCCAAACATAAAAAGTAAAATAATTTTATAATAAAAAAAATAAAATTCATTCGTTGGTGATGCAATTCTTATCGCGGCTTCTACGTTATTACCATTATTCCGTATAAAGAGTTCTCCCACTCCACGTGACTTGTAGCTATCGCAGGACTCCTAGTTTAGGTTGCTTAATTTAAATGTCCGTTATTGTCGATATAAACGGCCTGAGCTAAAGTGAATTCCCAGATCTCTAATAGTTTTCATGCGGATTCCTGCTTCACTACGAATGTTCCGACCTTCATCGACCATTAGTTGTCTTTAATGGATTAGATGACCGTACTTTGTTATGGTCGTACCTCGAGTCATCATTTTCATCCAGGATCATCAGTGTATGATATTATTTGGGCTCCTGTTTTTTGCTCGTTGTTACTGAACGAAACATTTGTGACAAGCTGTGAATTTTGACGGTTTTATTTGGCGTACCTTCTACTTTCGGGGCACGTTGGTAGATTCTACTGTTAAATGGTGCCATTGTAAGTGTTGTCGAAGACACTTGGCTAAAAATATTCTGCGCTTGAATCGTCAACATGGCTCAGGTTGTTACACAACACCATATTGTCCAGTCATATCGCCGTAAACGGGGCAATCTTGGCCCTGTTAATGCTGTTTCATGTACAATGTATTGACGTGATTGAAGCTATAACCTCATTAATGCACGCGACAATACTGTGACAGCAGCATAAACATCCCAGCACTCGGAAATAGCTACTTGTTTAGTGTCAAGCGTGTAAGTTATTTGGTTTAACTTAACATTACCTCCGAAATACACTATACTTAAGTTACGTTGAAAGACTCTTCTGATGTAGCATAAAATAAGACCAAATTATCTTTAGCGTGAATAAACTGCGTCAATAGAATATTAAGATAAAGAATAGCCAGCTATCCAGACCTCGGTTTCGTCTTATACAGTTTCAGAATCTTCTCTTTCCGCATCGACCGCGTTGTCACATTGAGCTGAAACATCGTGAGAAATGTCAGCGTTTTTGCTAGCGACGGTAACGGCCGCACAGCATTCTATACCTTCCGACACGGAATACCCCTCTTCCACGTAAATTAAGCGTTGCTTTGCGTTGCCTTAAAGGTTTTCATTTCTGAAGATAACGAGACCATCAATTGCGTAAGGCGTCCCCTCAACAGCGATGATGTCCCAACCATTTTTCCTGAGATAACCTCACCGGTGCAAGGAATCTCGACCTTAGAATCAGTAAATGTGGAGTCTGTTTCAGTCAGCACGCAATGTCCCGTCATCCGACGTGCACGAGCCTTCTTCATTAATGTGTTGTGATCAGGTGGAATCTGAAATCAAACTGGGCTGTTATTTGGTTCAATATGTTTCGGATTGCCAGTATTTGCAGATAGTTTTTCAAACGAATGGCAGTGTTCGTAATGTGCTACAATTCCAGCTATGCGGCCGTCTGGAACAGCATCGACAATGTGTGAACAAGCACCTTTTGCGATAGTATCATGAGCATACTACACCCCATGAGGGATCTTCGCTAGAACTGACAGTATCTCCACCTACGGCGTGCTTCTCAATTAGGATATCCTTTCCGGCATGGAAAACGTAAGCGGATTCGTCGTTAACAACGGAACCCGTTGTATAGGAGTTTGTTTCATTGGGCAGTACATATGAGACACCGCTTCTGTCAAGAAGATGATACAAATCTGTGGTTACCTGCGCCATTGTCGAATCTTGATTTTGATTCACCTCATCGATTTGATCACTTTGATCCACTTTTTAAAGATTAAAAGCACTTAATTTTTTAAAATAAATAAAATAAAAGCACTGTAACAATCTTTTTAGCCTTTCGGTTAGCTTAACGTTCGGCGAGGAAGGGCGATTATCTTTCTGTTCCATTGATTGGCCCACCTTTGTCCTTAAACATTGCTGTAAGTGAAATACAGCAGGACAGTAGTTGTGAAAAAAAAAACGTATTTGTTTTTATTTACACAAACCTCACAATAGTGGCGAACTGGAGGCCTCAGAAACTTTGTTTTTGTTGAACCGCCGACATGGCTATGAAAGAAAAAGCTACAAAATAATGGGTTTGATTGGAGGCTGTACTTTAGAAAGAAGAGGGAAAATTTAGTTTTTGCAAACCTGTTTGCCAAAAGTGGTGAACACAAATATGGCTACTTTGGTACTCCGCTCGTTACCAAAACAATTGGGTGTCATCGATTGCTCAACAGCTTGCTGCGTTTACGGGTGTTTTGTGTAAGTTACCTGCAATGGGATTGAATGCTGTTATTTCCTTGACTGCTGCTCTTTCGGTTTGATAAGTAATCGAACTGTCCAAAATTAATTGGCCGACATGTAATACTGCTACGTAACCTTGTCCAGAACACGTCGATCTGATAGAAGCTTCTGAAGCCTGCCCAGCTGCCTCGTCACCCACTCGTCACCACAGCAGACTATGGCAGGTACTATAGAAGTCAGCTTTAGACGCCTCCAATGAAATACATTGACTAGTTATACATGTACACATATTCAAAATGTGACCTGTGCGTACGTATCATGAAGAAAAAAATTATTCAATCAATAAGGAGCTCGCCTATAAACCTTTTCTGTTTGTGCATCCGTGATAAGAGCTGATCCCAAAGAAATTCTAAACCAAGAAAACCGCTTTGTAGTATAGGCGATTTATCCATACCTAGCAAAACCAGTCAACGTATAAAACTCAAGTTAATAAGCGGGTTCTGTTAAACACAGAATGAAAACAAAAATCATTTAATAGCTATTTTAAGCTTACGATGTAGCAGGTAACAATAAAGCACGAGCATGACCTAACCTAACCTAACCTAACCTAACCTAACCTAACCTAACCTAACCTAACCTAACTTAACCTAACCTAACCTAACCTAAATTTGAGGAATCATACCAGAACCGGCTTTTCTGCTAAACAATGAGCTGGAGGCATCTACAGCTTTCTCTCGTTATTGTTGTGAAGATCCGCTAGGTTCTTCACTAGAAAAGGTCATGTAGAAGAAATAGCTGAAATCAGATTTTTATGAGCACGATGTAAGCTTCTGGAAGATTTATGCCAATGAGTAGTCAATATTTGTCATTATTAAGAATGCCATCATTGGTAGCGTCAACATTTACTGGACAATAATAATAAAGGAGGTAATATGTCGGTGAGATGAATCATGTAGTAGATATAGAGATACCTAGTGTTCGTACCGATGGAATATTTTTTACGACGATCTTATAAATGCAGGCAAAGAAAGTTTTCCATGTTGAACTTTTGAAATTAGTCCCAAATTAATTTTCTCGGCTCCTATGAATGAACAAAAGCTAGACGCTGTAGCCAGATAGTTCATTGCGTATTGTAATTATTTCATCTCACTCGTAAACTACTAACTTAAAAGCGCACGAAAAATACCTTTATAACAGTAGCTTACCTCTAGACGATAGGGCTGATGTGAACACTTGATCATTGGCGCTGAATGAACCTAGGTGAAGATAAACGACAACGGAAGGACTCTTCGGAACACATGAAGATCCTAATATATTAGCGAAATTTGTACTATTAATGACGTTCCTTAGTGCCTATTATTAGATATTTTGTGTCCGACGATTGTTTGCGCTAAGGCTTAGCACGTCAGTAAAGTACAGGTAACGCTCGTTGGCCGTGCCGTTACGCAATGTCGACAACGCAATGCGTCAGCTGTTGAAAAAAGCTTACACCGTTCACACTTGCGTGGCATCGTATTGTTTTGCGATGCTGTTTGGACATTCGAAATGTCCTTAATGGCGGCAGATGAGCAAATTTTTTGTTTTGCAAAAGGTCCTGTCTTTATACTATAGTATTCGATATTTTAGTCGCTGAAGGGTGCGCGAAAGATGACTCGCACAAAGACTGAAACGAAAACCAGAGGCGACAAAATCCGATACGCTATACCTGATTCTAGACAAAATCGTTCTGAGGTATACCTTATTCATTTTTTATTTCATTATTTACCCTCCAATAAGCTGTCTAGCTTTTCTAACTATTGCGTGAGACTGCAATTTCAAAAAAAGTTAAACAGATTGACGGAAATTTCAGGCTCGCTCTCTCTCTCTCTCTCTCTCTCTCTCTCTCTCCCTCTCTAGTCGAAAACAAAAGCAGGTCGCGCCTAGATAACTTTTTCCTTAACATGAAATATGGAAAACGACTTGTTTTTTTTTTGTCCATCTAGAGTTGCTTGCGAAGACGCTTTAAGGCATCAACGCTCAAGTGTTGCACAATAAACAATGGAACAAATTGATTAATTATATATAGTGCAGTGTCTTTTTTCTATTCAAACGATATAGATGGAAATATTTATCACGTCTTCGCTAGCTAGTATCTACGATACTTAGTATTTCTAGTTTTTTTTACCGCAAAATATTGATCAGATTTGCTGGAAATCATAATTCGAACGTCTCATAATTACAAAGGGTAAAAAAAGAAACATAGATATAAGTTGATTGTGCCGTTACTTCTTGACTATACGTGGGTGCATGCGAAAAAGCCCAACTAAATACATCCCAGTGTATTCGGAACTATTTGGCACACTCAAACGTGATCACGAATCGAGAAGCCATTGATTGTACTTCGGACATGAATTTTACGCAACTAATGGAACGAACAATGCGCCGCAAATGCCGTTTTACGTCACCACTCTAGTAATCTACCCGTGGATTTTTCTAAGAGATTGATAAAGACTGACTTTTCTAGTGAGGCTATTTCATTTCGACGCCTATCGGCACTCATGCAGCCCTATCTGTAAGTTTACCAATTTCAATTTCAATGCTCAGTCGTCCATTTTGGCCAATTAGGAAGATGATGAGGGGCAAATTTAAGAAGTAGCATTAGCATATAATAGAACTGAGCCGCTAGAAACTGAGTTGCGAAGTCTTCAGCAACAACTAATGTCCTAATATTCATCAGAATCGAAGTTATCGAATACTATTGACACTAGGGGCAAAGCGGGATTCCTCATAAATGCACAAAGAGTATTGGGTTAGTAAATGTACCGTAAAAAACATAGCACCTTCAAAGCATATGAAAAAACCGCAATATAATCTAAGCAAACACACATCGGATTTATTATTAGTGTTATTTTATAGACCATTTATTGAGGGGCGAACGGGTTGCTACTTTAAAATCCGTGGTATTTCAACGCAGAACCTATGAAGTAGCAGAGGCTTCAATTCGATATCCAAAAAGACTACAAGGATAAACGCTTATGTTAACAATAAGGAATTCAACCGTCTCAATAAAACTTAATTAGGCCACTTTCCAGGTTAACAGGTTAATTAGTGCGTGATTGCTAGAAGTTTCTACAATGTTCTATTCCTTCACGTTCGTTGTAGGACTGGAGTTCTTGATGGATCGAACGATCTCAGAAAAGGACCGGCTTCGTTTACAGCCCGAGACCTTTGCCCCAAATACCGACTTGCGCTAAAACCCGAATAGAATTAAACCTGAACCCACACTGACCCAAGAAGACAGTACTATTATTATGAATAAATATCAGGTCGCCCCGTTTAAATATACGCTAATCATCACTGCCGTAGCGTGACCTTCTTCTGGTAGGGCCCTAAAGCAGTAACGTAGAAAACAATCAATGGCGGTATAGGTCACTGGAAGGTGTGACAACACTGTAACCCTAATTATTTATAAAATCAGAGCGAGTAAAAGCTGTAGTACCTACGAGGTGTAAATCGCAGTTTTTTTATTGGACACGTCTGGTTTATGTGGCGCGCTTTAATCACTTGTCTCGTGTCCACATGCCGTATGTACATCGGTACGCTGGGACTGCGTACAGATGCTAAAGATGCAAGTTCGACAAAAGCGACTTGTCGAATTTTACGCGCGTTATAAATGACAGCTGTACAAATCCTTTGCTATTACAGGGTTCTCCTATGCTATTGAATCTGGAATTTTTTTTGCATTTGGTCCCATGTTCCAGTTGTGCCGAGTAATAATTAAACATAACAAGGCGGATTAACCAGAGACATCGAACTGCATGGAGCACCGAGCTCAACAATATCTCTAACGCATTATGTAGTAAGAAGAATTTCCGAGCGTCACATGATTGTCTCGGAATTATTTATTAATCAATCCAATATTACCCGGGCTTGGCCGTCAGGCTAATTCATTCTTATTTTGTAATTGTACAAGTTTTGAGGTCTCTAACGTCGTCACTGTTCAACTCCTTCCGGTTATTTTCCATATAGCATTATTCGGTTAAACTTTGCTTTCGTCTGCTTACTAAATATGAATCAATTTTTCAACAATAGAATCGACTTTTGTCGCAAGAGTATATGACATTTTTGTTAGAACAATCTGTCAATGGGTATATCCAGCGAGAATCGCCAAATAAAAACGTCGAAAACAAACGAAAATCGAACTCTTTTGCTAAAAGCCCAAGAGACTTTGTTCGCCGATTAGCATCGTCACGCCAATGGCCTTCTGCGTGCCAAAAAGCCAATTTGTAAATCTTCAGACTGCGTTTCCAGTTCGCGCAACTGGAAGATATATGGATGTATAGAGTACGCCAATAGCTATACCGCCCAGTCCGTATCAAGAAAGCTGTAACAAGGCAAATTTGTATGTCAAATCCCACTCTTCCCACAATTTAATAAGCGTACGCGACCAAATGCAGAAAAAGGGTTCTATGGGAATAATAAGGGAATAAGGGAATATGTCTCACTGCGCATTCACTAGGGAAACTTACGGTCACCATCAAGAGCAAGTCGCTGACAGAACCATGTTCACTCTCCTAGCGTAACTCAATGGTTTAACGCGACCTATAAGCCCTTTTGCAAGTCGAATTGAAGAGCCGGGCTTTGCTTATTTCCCCCATGAGTTTCGCTCATTACTATGTGGTTGTGGTAACTGAACCTTTGTTTCACAGACGCGCCAAAAAAGCTAGTTTTAGGTAGCATGATTACAGGTATTATATTCGTAGGCCCAATGTAAGTTCGACTAAGTTCTCTGTTAAAGGAATTTGGAAACTCGGACATATTTGCTAAGAGACTCGAAGACGGTTTCATTCGAATGGTCGAAGGCTAAAAGACGAAATCTGGCTTCTTTTTTTCATCCGGCAGAGGATAGCAAATAGTAAGATATCTCTAGATTTACTGATCCCCTGTGGTAGCTTAATAGGCAACAATAAATCTGCTGATCTTAGGAACGCGCTGTGGTTCAGGTTCGAACTCGGACATAGACAAACTTTGTTTCGTGCTGGGAGCCAGCCGTCTGATGAAACATCTAAACATGACACTGGATGTAGAACTTGAAACGTAAATGTTTACTGCAGCTTCTGAGTACCACTGACCGAAGAGCGAAAAAAAAAGCTGTCCCTTCGGTGAAATTAGCTTTACGTACTTTAAGATGTCTGTGTACTAGACTGTCCTATTCGAGTGGCAAGTCCAACAATATCGAATTAGATCATAGTTTTCTACAAGCATTTTTATATGAAAGCAAACGGCAATTTATTCAGTGTTGACTTTAAAATATATCACATGTCTGCTAAAAAACGGTGCTGTGCAATGCGTCATTTATGCCCATTTGTTGACCCTATTTTTTTGGCAAAATACTGCCACTAAAGCCTGCAGTCTCTCACAATTTTCGGTACTGGACTTCTTCTGGACATTACCATGAGAACCGTGAGGTACAGTATTCAGGCGCGACACTTCGCCTAGGCACATAATGCAAACTTCATGGTAACAGCCCGACGGGGCTGTTATTTTCCCTTAACGATCTCTTTAAGTAGTTGATCCGAGATCCGAAACCATAACAATAAACTGGAGTTTTTTTTCAAGGAAGTACGATGTGAAATTTTTTCTTGTCCTCATAGAGACGGGTGGTCGAGTAGAAACTGGTATTGAGTAGAGCGTTAGCGTTCATATAAAGAAACGAAATAAATTTTCAGTGTCCCGTACTGCAAACGAAGTAAATTCAATTAGAGTAGCAACTTATAACTTTGTTCTGTCCTGGGAATAATCATAGAAAATATGCCAGCATACATTAATTAATAGTAAACCATTGTTCTAAATGTTTTGTTACACATACGCTGCGACTGGTGTTTGAATAGGTGCTTAAAGGTTTCCATCCTTTTTTTTTGTTACACACGCTTCTACGTATTCATACGTACGATATTTAATAGCTACCATAAAAACAGGATACTGCGGCCATCATTGATCTTACAACGCAATCCCTGCTTCTCTGTACACACCGTACCGGCTTCCTGTAAGGCTACTGAAGGTGTCTGTGTCTTTGCGGTAGTCTCGCTTTTAACACGTCTTTTCTACGCTTCATTGCGTACTTGTCCATTTTGACATGAGCACAAGATTTTACTGTTGACCTTTTCACGAAATGGTTGTAAACGTCCAGGCTACAGCCTTCGCTTCACAAACCTCGTTGGGGCTTCCCTTTGTATCGTAACGAAATCTACCTTTAATTCTCCTTTTTGCTAGAGTCCTAGCCTAAATTTCTAACGACGTCAAAAGTGCCGTTGATCGTTTACTATAGACATCACACGCGTAAGCATTAGATTCTATTTTAGCTGTTTTCATTTGTTTGCCGCTGATGTCTATTTTCTTGTCTAAAATTTATTGTTCCCATCTTTTCTCCTGTATACGTTTGAGTAGCGGAAATTTGCAGGCTAGGACTTCAGAAGGACAGCATATTTTGTCCAACTCAGTTGAATGTTTGCCTACGTACTCTAAGCCATTTTGACAAGGACAAGATCGGCTGGTCGTGACGGTACTATAAGCTTTACACTGCCATTGACCTTTTTGTTCACCAGACGTCCTCTCGGAGTTTGCCTTTAACACAATTCCTTGTCGTAATTGAAGTATGACACACCCCCCTTCTTTCCGTTTGAGAAGTACCTATTTGTATAGTGTATTCTTATTGTGAGATCAAAGAAACAACTAAATCAGATGCTGAATTTGAGTCAAAAAAGCCTAACTTATTTCAGAAACGACTCGTCTTGGCAAAAGCTAAAGTTAAGTACGTCCAAAGCGACTCTCCTCATCGGCAGTACGAAAAGCTCAATCTATCTAGGCTGGAATGAAACGATCAGCTATTTGGATGGAAGATAGCATATCATTGCATACGACGCCTATGCGCCTACGGACTCCCAGGCAATCCGTTATTGACTCGTACTTTTTTTTACACTTGAGATAATCTCACAAGCGACCATGTCTAGTAATAAAATGTCTCTTATAGTTTCTTTTTTGCTAAAGTATAGACATTATGATATTTCAGGTAGATGGTATAACTTGGCTGAGGCGTTAATGCACCTTCGATTATAGCGTCTACGCATGGTTAGCACTTGCAACGGCTAAACAGACAGGTCAATGATCCAAAATAGGCTCT